CTATACCCTTTTAGAAAAGATCCAGCCTTAGACTATTGAAAACTTCAGAAGTAGAGGAATAAAAAAGTTTCAAGCTTTGCCAGACCTACAAAGATAAATATATACAACTTAAACTAAGATTGAGAACAAAGTGGAACTGCCAAATACGCATAAAAGTCTCAAATTTGAAACCCAGAAACCCAAATTTGATCCATGCAAGCATACCCCTTAATGGGAAAAAGGAAAAAGCAATGTTATCAGGTGTTAACTGAGGCAATCCTCACCTGTTGTAGCATAATCTGCTACTTGCCACTGAAAATCCAAAAGTGGGTTCGGCTAAAAAATTGTTTTCACTTTTCCTTCCAAGTCGGAGAATCAAAAACAAGAACCCATGTCAATTTTCACATCTCCAGACTCAGCTTTGAAAACTAATAGAAGAACACAATACATGCAAGGTTTTTGGTAGGAAAGGAAGATTGTAACAAAACAGTGTGTCCTTTGGCTAAGATTGCAAGCTTCTCTTAGGTCTTGTATTGCTTTTTTCCGGTAACAGAGCACTGTTTTCTCTTGGAAGCTAGCGGACAAATAATCCCAGACCGATAGAGAGAGAATGTAAGCAGAACTGACGAAGAAGAGAAAGATAGAGGTGTAATGTGGGACTCAATCAGTAAATTGTTTTATTTTATTAGTTGTTGTTTTCTTTTTATGCAATCAATTTAAGGTGGTTATTCTAACCATTAAAACACGACACAATTTTAGCATAAATGGAGTATAACGAGTATTGCAATTAAAATAAAAATATATATATAATTTTTAATGATTTTGAATAAATATTATTTTATTTTTAATATAAATTTTATATTTAACTTCTAACATGTACTTTTTACATATATTAAATTATATAAAATTGTACATGATAAAAAAATGAAAAATAATAATAGAAGTTTCTATTAAAATAATTGTAGTTAATAATATCAATGTATTAAATTTATATTTTTAATATAAATTTATTATATATAATTTTTTGTTATATACTCTCATTCTTTTTTATCTGTCGCTTAAATTTATCTCAAACAATTAAAAAAGTAATTAATGTTAAAGTTTATATAAAAGGTTGTAATTAGTTTTCCTTTTTTTCTATAAAACTTATTTAATCATGTAAAATAATAGTTAAGAATTTTATAAAAGGTAAGATTACAATAAAAACAATACTCAATATTTTCTTAAACTTGTAAAGTGATAAATAAAAGTATTTTAATTAAATAATGAAAAACCAAAAAAGAAAGATAGAAGAAATATAATACTTCATGTATTAAAGAAATAAATAACAAGTTTTGTTATCTCAATTTGTGCGGCTGAATTTAAGCATCTAAAAGCAATAAGATTTTGCTAAAAATAATACATTAATTATATTAAAACTATAAATAAATAATAAATATTTTAAAAATAAATTTTTATTATTATTAGTTATTTAAACTCAACTCTAAATATAGTTAATAATTTTATAAAAGTGTAATAAATAATAATATTTTATTAAAAGAACATACAATCTAATAATTATAGATGTATTAATTACATAAATTATAAATTAATAAAAACTACTAATAAGTGATATTAATACACTACTAAAGAATAAAAAGTAATAAAATATTATAATTTTATATATGTAAAATGTTAAATGCGTTCGTGGATTTATTTAATATTATTTTTATAATAAAAATATTTCAAAAAAATGAACCTATTTGACTATAAGAACTAATAAAAAAATTACTTTGATTAGAAAAATATTTAGATTGCATATTTTGTTTCTTGGTCCACCACGCTGTTGTCAAATTGAACACTAATTACTAACCATAAGATATGGGCGGCACAGTGAATAAAAAAAGGCACTAAAATTGGCAAGTTGGATGAATATGTTTCCCACCTATATTATTTTAATATTTTTATAAAAACAAAATTATTGTTTTTCATCAACTGTGAGAAAATAATGGTAAAAGTATTTATTTTGAATTTTTTTAAACTTAACAGTTTAAAATTGTTTTTCTTTAAATTTAAAATTAACAGATTTAAATTATTATTCTATTTAAAAGGATTTTTCTTACAAAACGTGCTTTTGACATAATTTTCTTTCAATTTAAATAAATGAAATAGTAAGTATACATGTAACGATTCCTTTTGAGCTATAGAAGCCTTCAAGAATTTTTTAAAACAAGTAACTTCATTTTTTAATGAAAAATGACGATTTCACAATAAATAAAAATTTAAAATAATAATTTTTTAATTTTTAGATAAAAATAATAATTTCACTTAAACATGTGATTTCTAGTTTATTAGTCTTAGAGAAAATTTAAAATAATTATTTTGAAAACGTTTTTCTCTCTAATTCTTGAATAAGTGAGCGGTGGTTGGCGGCGTCAACTGCTATTATTTTTGTTAACTAAAAAAATATTAAAATGATTTTCCATAACTACTATTATTTCTGTGTAATTTAAAATAAATATTCAAATAGTTTTGCGAGCACACCGAAAAAAGCTTAATCAAAATATTTTTATTTTCAAACCAGTACTTGATGTGCTGTCATACTAGTTTTTTATAAAATTTTAGAAAAAATTATAAAATTATGAAAAATCAAAATCATCCTTAATACAATTTTTCATAAAATTTTCTCATAAATTTTCTTCAAAATCTGGTAGTTTGTTATTTCAAATTGGAAGACTTGTTCAAGAAAATAAGAATGGAATTATACTGAGAATCTAATGCATATTTATGGTAATTGCAAGTGGCACTGTTTAAATAAGGTAATGTAATAATGTCCAACGTCAACCTTCAAACCCATAAGGGACCATATGCACATCATAGTACAGAGTAGGTGCCTTCTAATGTTATTCCATTTTTTTGGTTGTGTGGAATTTAATAAAGTAGGAAAAGAATTTACATTTAAAATTGTATTTTTAAAAAATTTATGTTTTTCTTCTTAAAACATGTGAGAGAAGATTCAAACCTGTAATATGTATGGTGTTTTGTTTCATTTGGCTAATTTATTCAAATTTAATTTATTAAACCTTATTTTTACAATATTTTATTATACATATTTAATCATTTAATACTTTTAAATTATTTTCACTTTTTTATGATAAAATATTTCAAATATTTCTTATTTCTATAACTAATCTATTTGTTTATAACTTTTGTTCATCTATATTACAAATAATCACACTTTCAACAACTGCTAATCATTTAAAATTTCATCTTTGCCTTATTTCTATATTATAAAACTTAATTGCATTTTACTATTTTTAATTTATATTGTATGTATTATTTTAGTCTCTCTGGTCATAATTATTTATATTTAGTGTTCATGGTTTTTCAATTATTCAAATTCAGTCTTTTATTTTAAATTTTCATTAATAATATTTAATTAAATTAATTATTAAAAATATAAAATAACAATAAAAAATCATGTTTTTATGTATAATTTTTTAAATTTATAAAAAATTATAATTTTGAGTTTATTAGTTTATTTTAAACTCCTATCATTTTTCATTTACAAATAAATTATTTATTGGTAATCAAAATAAAAAATGCAATGCAAAAATTTCTAAAAATAATACAATAATTAAAATATTATTGTATCTATTTTTTTTTCTTCTGATATGTATTAAATAAGATTGTCATATTAAAATTCAATACGAGAGACTCCATCCAAAGATAGGATGCTTATATACATGAATGATCAACTTCGAGTTAGAGTGTGCTTAAGTTAGGATAATAAACTATTTGCTTTAGGTTTCTGAAAAATTATATTTATCAATATTCAATTTAAAAATGATTTAATTAACGACTAATATTAGTCTAATAACATTAATTAAACTTTTTTTAATTAAAAATGCCTACATTTGATTTCCTTTTAAACGAAAAAGTTATATTTATTGATGAAAAAATAACAATTAAAATTATAATAATGCATAAATGCGTTTAATAAATTATGAAATTATATAATTTGAATTGCTAATTTTTCAATCATTGATTATTGTTGAGTGAGATCTCATGTCAACTACAAATTTTACTTAAGTAAAGTTTATCAAAGGTAGAACAATGATTATTTACTAGCTAACATTTGATTTAAGTTGCTTAATTTTAAGATGATATTAAAGTGTAAAGTATATTCAATATTGGGTCACTTTTAATTATAAAAAATAAACGATCCTGTAAATTTTCTTAATCTAATTAACTTAGGCCAGTGAATTTTTCAATTTACGGACACATTAACTCTTGTGTTATATAATAAAAAAAAATTATTGAATTAGAATAACTTTTTTCGTTTTGTTCATTTGAAAGTATTCAATTATTCTTTTTTGTTGACTATTTGACTTTTGTAATTAATTCTATGTTATTTTTTAAATTTGTTATGAAATTTACTGAAAGGACTTTTTTTCATTAGAATTTATTCTGCAACTTCTTGTTCCTCTTTGTCAAAATCCAATTTTGTATGCCTATTTATCTTAAAACCTATACATTAATAATACCATTACGTTTTTATCATATTATATGCTTGAAATAATAAGTATTGAATAAATGGTTAAACTTAAACATATTTCTGTTCCTTTAAAACATAAAAATTTTTGAATTTAATTCCTATTTTTTATTTTGATCTTTATATTTTGTAAAATTGTTAATTTTGACCTCACTAATATAATTTTACAAAAACATATAATACAAATTCTGACATGTAACAACATCTGAGTTAGTGATATCTATTCAACAATAACCAAGACTAAAACTAAATATTCTTGGGAATGTGAAAACTAAAATAAAAATAATAATTTTATAAAGACCAAAATTAAATTTTGATGCATTTAGAAGGACCAAAAACATATTTAATATCATTGGTGAAATAGAAAATATTTTTATCGAGACTATTAATAAAAAATAAATTAAATTGTGATTACTTAATTATATTGTATATTTTTAATCATGCAATATCATGAACGTAATCTGAAATGGAGATCAAGGAACAACTATTACCAATAATCTCCACAAGAACATATGCCATTTTTGAAATGGTGAAACCTGCTAGAGTCTCTCACAATAATTTCTAGATTTTTAATCTCTGATATGTACTTGATGGCAACATGACAGTCACTGCAAACCCGCAAGTTTTTCATCACCCTTATTGGCACTCCCTCTGGGTTGCTCATTAAAGCAAAAGCAATTGCCAATTTCTCACTATGGTGCTTCAAGTTGTATTCTTTTTCCTCATTGTCCATATCATGCAGAACAGAACCTGTATCAGGTACATAGCCCCGCATCTTCATTTCTAAAGTTAATTCTTCCAGGTACTGATTAATCTCCACAGATTTTGGGTGGCCTTCATCATCTATACGAAATTGATGAATGCGATTCTTCACTTCTACCCAACTTATGCCTGGTTCTTTCTTCACCATCTTGTCTTTCATGGCTCTTCTCACATCAGAAACATTTTGCCACCACTTAGCTGATGCATAAATATTGGCAAGTAGAACATATGAAGCCGAGTCTTGAGGATCGATCCTAAGAACTTCTTCAGCAACCCTTCTTGCAATTTCTGCATTCTTGTGGATTTTACATGCAGATAATAATGTTTTCCATATAATTGCATCTGCTCTTACAGGCATAGATCGTATCATAGCCTCTGCTTCCTCTAAACAACCAGACCTGCCTAGCAGGTCAACCACACAAGTATAGTGTTCTAGTCTAGCTTTGAGTCCATACTTATCTATCATCATGTTAAAGAAAGCAAGACCTTTATCTTTCAGTCCACAATGACTACAAGCATATAGTAAGCTCAAGAATGTGACTTCATTTCCTGGCAGATTTTCATGTTCCATCTCATTGAAAAGCTTGATGGCGTCTTCTCCTTGACCATGAAACCCATAAGCAGCAATCATTGAGCTCCATAACACAACATCTCGCACTTTGCATTCCAGAAAAGCATTGATCGAGTCTTGCAAACATCCACATCTAGAGTACATACTGACCAACGAACTAACTACAGAAACTTCAGAATTAGCTCCTGCTTTGATTGTTTCAGCATGAATTTGCTTCCCTTGACCCAGGGTGGCTAGCTCCGAACATGAACTGATCACACTCACAAATGTAATTTTATCTGGTCTAAAACCTGCCATTTTCATCATACAGTACTGATCCAGAACTCCTTCAAAGTAACCCTTTTGAGCTTTTCCGGCCATAAGTGTATTCCAAGCGACCAAATTACAATTTGGCATCCATTTGATAACTCTCTCCCCATCATGCAAGCTTCCAGCTTTCATATACATATGAGCTAAAGAGCATCCAACAACCAAATTAAACTCAAACCCACATTTCATAACATAAGCATGAACCTGTTGCCCTGCACACAAAGCTATCAAATGTGCACATCCCCTGAGCACACTCCCCAATGAGTACTCATCCGGCATGAAACCCAACTCATTCATCCTTGCAAACAAGAACAAAGACTCTTCATTCATTTCAAACTTGGTCAACCCCGTGACCATTGCATTCCACGTGGCAACATTCCTCACAGGCATTTCATCAAACAGTTTCTTAGCAACCTCAAGATTGCCCATTTCAAGATAGCCCTTGATCATGATGTTACATGACATGACGTTCCTCCTTGGTATTCGATCAAACAGTGCCACTGCAACTTGAAGTTCCCCAAATTTTGTGTAGAGGTTGAGGAGATGATTGGAAATGAACTTGTCTGAGGAACACCCAGAAGTTAATATCAAAGAATGAAGCTGTTTTCCCAAAGCAACAGACTTTGTGGGAATACATGCTTGGAGGAGATTTGAAAATAAACGGGGTTCTGTCCATATCTCATATACAAAGCTTTCAAACGCTTCTTTGATCTGCCCTTTGGAACATAAGGTGGCAAATTGTTCTTTGCTCTCCAAAAAGTGCCCATTTTGGAAGTGGGTTTGGAAGGAAATCGTGGAAAAGCGAGAGATTGGGTTTCGAAAAATGGTGGGCACAAAAACATAAGAGAAGCTGGGACGAAGAAGACCAAACCTGCCCATGCATGAAGCACGGGCTAAGGACTGTTCTTGTTATACTCACAGCTCGACCTCAAACAAGTAGCTTTTTTCCGCATCAATTTATTTTTTTCCTTACTTGAGCAAGGTGGAAGATTACGAATAAGACCATGTTTTAATATATATTTTTTCTACTATCCAATAAAATTTTATTAAAAATATAACATTTAATATTATTGTATAATTTTTAATATATTAAATTATGTATTTTTTTAAATATACTGTATATAATTTTTTTATTGGGTATTCTTAGACTCACGTTAAAAACAAATAAATTTTGATACACTAAATATAATTTGCAATCGAATGTAGGCTGGAATGAAATTGTGTTTGAGTGCAATTCAAATTCAGCCATTCCAATTTTTATACCAAAGATTCAAAAGAAAATTGTCATCCTATAAAAAATATTTAAGAGGCAAAGATCTTTTGTTGCTATTTATGATCCTAATTCCAACAAACCATTTCATAGCATGATTCACCCATTAATCATATTTCAAAGTAGTTAATAATCAGTCTTTTAATTTATTTTTTCTTATTTGTAACTATTTCTTAAGACAATAATTCAAGATGAATTCCTAAGTCAAGACTTCAAGATAGTTAGTTTTCGAAGGAAAAACGAGGAAAGGAGAAACTTTTTTATTTCGAATTAACATTCTTTGATTTCATTTTTTTTTAAGTAAAGAGTATAAAATGATAGATTGTTATAAATTTAATTTTATTTACTTATTTATACGTTGCATAACATTTTAAATTCTAAAAATATTTATCCTTCCTTTCTTTCTCTCGAAAATTTAACTCTCAACATTCTCTAGGGTCAAAATCTACTTTCACCGTCAACTATCAAGTGCATTCCTGCTCCTTCAAAACACTGGCAATACCACCTGGATCCCAAGCTAATCCTAACCAGTTACCTCCATCTCATTTCTCAACAAACAGATATCAGATCAAATTGGGAGTACATCCTTTGCAGTCATGCCAAACAGGACAGAACTCACAAATATAATGAATTTACACTCAAACTAAGTAAACATTGCATCTCACCAGTTACAAATTTACACTAAGAATTAATGGTTAGTTAAACTGTTCACAATACTTACACTGTATTATAGACGTAAAGACAAGAATTTTACACAACATTTGCACTTTGGCATATATACTTTCTGTTGTGATCGTCAACACTACAAAAATGAAATGGTAAGCTAGAAGCTTTAATCATTCACAAATTTGGAGTAAGATGTAAAGGGCATTCTGTATTCTAACACAATACATAAAAGATATTACATGAAGGCTATTCAAACAGTGGCTGGTAATGGAGTTGAAGGAGGGACCCGATTTTCAGCTGGAATTTCAACAAATTCGGACAGTAAAGCTCGGAATTCATCTCCGGTCAATGTCTCCTTCTCCAGAAGGACTTCCACAATCTTATCAATTGCCTCACGGTTGTTCCTTACATGGCTTAATGCAACTTCATATGCTTCATCTGAGATCCTCTTGATTGCAGCGTCAATGTCTTCTGCAAGCTTTTCTGACATTGAGTTCCTTGCCATCATTCTCATGATAACATCTCCACTTTGAGCTGATGGTTCCATAAGTGACCAGGGACCAATGTCAGACATTCCAAATGTGGTTACCATCTGCAAGAGTATCATTTAACATTTATTGAAGCAGCATAGGAGGATAGAAGGAAAATATAAATAATTTTTCCATGAGAAAAATTAAAGTTTATCCTTCAGAGTGAACATAACCCTTCTTTCAATAGTTTTAAGTTTTGGGCATTGAAGAAATCATATGACAGGGTCTCTATTGCAGGTTTCACCAATTAAGTGAAGCTAACAACATAACTCCTATTAGCAAAATGAAACCAGATGCTAAATTAATTCAGATATTAAATATTAGCATCTTCCATCCCACAAAAATAAGAGAATGAAAAAGGAGGTATAATGTAACACAAAAGCATATAATTAACAAGTACCTGTTTTGCCAAACCGGTGATTTGCTGCAAATCACCAGCTGCTCCGGTTGTAACCTCAGGCTCGCCAAAAATAATTTCTTCTGCAGCCCTACCACCTAGTCCTCCAACAATTCTTGCAAAGAGTTGTTGTTTGGAGATCAGAGTTGGATCATCGGCAGGAATAAACCATGTAAGACCCCGAGCTTGACCCCGAGGAATTAGTGTCACCTTTTGTACAGCATCATGACCAGGAGTTAAAGTTCTGCAAACAAGTACAAACAGATGTTTCAGAACAAGTTTTTGGGAATTGTTCACTAAAACAGCTTCTCAGTGTCAACACTTGATGTTTGATGGCTCAAGCTCATGTATTAAGTGTTACGAGACATGATGTCATGAAGACAAAACACCTTGTTTCCATTGCAACCTTAAACATTTACTTGAAAGACAAAACGACAGCCTAATTTCTTACCCACAAATGGCATGCCCAACTTCATGATATGCCACTAAACTCTTGCTCTTCCCATCTGTCATCACTGTTCCTTCCATTCCAGCCACAATCCTATCAATAGAATCATCAATCTCTTTAGATGAAATTGCTGACTTTCCTCTTCGACCAGCTAATATAGCAGCTTCATTCAAGAGGTTTGCAAGATCAGCCCCACTAAAACCAGGCGTTCTCATTGCAATCACATCAAGAGAAACATCAGCATCAAACTTTTTATTGCTAGCATGAACCTTTAGGATTTCAGTTCTTCCCCTTATATCTGGGACGTCAACTGTTACCTGCAAAAGCGTCAATGTTCAGTAATTTACTCATTTATAAAAACATTAGGCACTTCATAAAATAATCATACCTGTCTATCAAACCGCCCCGGTCTCAATAAGGCAGAGTCAAGAATGTCAGCCCTGTTTGTTGCTGCAATGACAATGATGCCAGTATTACCCTCAAACCCATCCATTTCTGTCAAAAGTTGGTTAAGGGTCTGCTCTCTTTCATCATTCCCTCCACCAATTCCAGTCCCTCTTTGTCTTCCAACAGCATCAATTTCATCAACAAATACAATGCAAGGGGCATTCTCTTTGGCCTTCTTGAATAAATCACGGACTCGAGAAGCACCAACACCAACAAACATCTCAACAAACTCAGAACCTGATATTGAGAAAAACGGAACACCAGCTTCACCAGCAATAGCCTTGGCCAAAAGGGTCTTCCCAGTTCCAGGAGGACCAACAAGAAGAACTCCTTTTGGTATGCGGGCCCCAACAGCAGTGAACCTTTCAGGCTTCTTTAGAAACTCCACCACCTCCATAAAATCCTGCTTGGCCTCATCCACCCCAGCAACATCATCAAATGTCACTCCAGTATTTGGTTCCATTTGAAACTTGGCTTTAGATTGACCAAAAGCAAGAGGAAATCCAGGCCCACCGGGACCTCCCATACCTCCAGATCGCCGTGAAAGAAGAAACAATCCTCCAATCAAGACTAGAGGTAAAGCCAGATTCCCAATCAGGTTAGTTAATAGAGAACCTGAATCTTCTTGGGGACCATGAGCTGCAAAGTCAATATTTTTTTCCCTGAATTTCTGAAGGAGCTCTTGGCTAAGTCCAGGAAGTTGAACTTTAACCCGCTGCACTCTATTACCCAACTCAGGAGAAACAGCCTCAACAACAGCAATGGTTCCGTTGTCAAACAGATCCACTTTTTTAACTCTATCCTTGTCCAAATACTCTAGAAACCTGGAGTAAGACATTCTGGAGGATGAAACCCCTTGTTCATCAGCAAAAGCCTTGCCACTTCCCAACAATGCAGGCAAGCCAAATCCCACATTTCCAAGCAACAGTTTCAGAAACCCTCTTCTCCCTTCTTGCTGCCTTTGGTCTAAAGACGCCTTTATTGAAAATGCTTTTGATGCCTTATTCAATGATGAAACTCTCCAAGATGAGACGAGATATCTTCCATTGAAGTCTTTGCTAAGATTCACTCTATTACTACTCCGTGTTATGGTTAAACCATTCCCAACAACACATGCTGATGATAGTGCCATCTGCATCAACAAGTGTATCCAATCCAAGACATGGCCTTTTAAATACTACCATCACTGAAGACTCATTCTAACGTTAACATAAAAAGGTAAGAATTTCTCTAATTGGAAAGAAAGCAATCTCAATTCGATTGATGGAAATATTAAAAAAAAAAACTTCAAATATGAGATTTTTAGATTAAAGGGTCACCACTAACACTTCCGACAATCAAATTAATAATTTAAAAAATAACAAAGGAATTAACAAAATTAAAGACAATTAATTAAGATAACAGTAAACAACCAAGTTTCGAGTAAGATAGCAGAGAGAGAAGCGAGACATGAAAAGTGAAGGGCACATACCTTAGAAAGAGGAGAGTGGGAAGAAGTGAATAATGGAAGGGAAGAGAAAGAGGGAGAAGGAGAGAGAGAGAGAGAGAGAGAGAGAGAAGAAGAAGAAGCTTATTGGTGCAGAAGAAGGCGATAATTGAAGAGGTGTTGTGTGTTGATGTGGGTTTTAGAGGGAGTGGCTGTGGTTCGAGAGAGGCGTACGTGGCCGTTTCCTATCGTTTGATTCGTCACTCGTCGCTCCTTTGTTCGTATGTTGAGATATTTTTACATTAAATCAAGAGAAAAATATTTTAATATACTTTTAAATTTTATTAACTAAATTATCAAGTTAATTGTATGATTTTATTGAAGCAGTGAACCTCCTCTGTATACTAAAAAAATCTTTTAAAATGTCACATGAATATGTTTAAAAATAATTTGAGAAGTTATTTTGATTAATTTATAAGCTTATTTTAATCAAAATAAAAAAGATCTGGATCGTTTGCAGTTCTTGCGAGAACTGCAGGCTGTAGTTTTAGATTCGCTTAAGCAAATTTATAAAGAGTTGCAAAAAAAACTAAAAGAAGAAAAGAGAAAGAAAAGTTGAGAGGAAAATCAGAGATAAGACAAAAGCACAAAGAAGGAGAGCTGGAGAAAGTTAATAGAGAGAAAGGAAAAGGGTTAGATGAAGAGAAAAAGGGATCAGGATGAGTGAGGATGAAAAGAAGGAGAGCTAGATAAAAAGAGAGAGAGAAGAAGACTGGGTGAGCCGAAGGAAGAAGAGATAGGGAATGAGAGAAAAAAAAAGGGGACTGAGTGAGAAAGAAGAAAGAAGAAGATGGCTGAATTGGAAGGAGAAAATAAGAGATGGAACAGAAAGAAGGAAGGAGAAAATGTTGCAGTGTATTTTTACTTTCGCTTAAGCTAAACAAATTTTTTTTAACTTAAACTAAAATGATTTTTTTTATCAAAATTCACTTAAGCAAAAAAATTTCACTTAAGCGAATCTAAAACTGTAACTTTTTTCCTATATTTTTTAATAAGATTATTCATTTACTATTTCCTTTGATATAATATTATTTATTTTAATAAAAAATTCATTAATGTCATATTATTATTTTAACTATTACAATATTTATTAATTTTATGAAATATTTTTTTAAATAAAAAAATTAACTTGTAATTAATACAAATATTGTATAAAAATATGAAAGTTACTTTTTTTATTTCTAATTTATTAGTAAGTTCAATAATTAATCTTATCTAATAGTTCTAATTCATTTTGTTAACTTTATTTTTTTTTAACTAAATTATTAGTTATTTTTGCTTTAGTTATATATATATATATATATATATATATATATAATTTACTATTTACAAATATAATATTCAATAAATAATTTAAAAAACTTTTGGTACTTAACAACTTTCTTTTTAAACAAGGCTAATGACAATAATATTAAAATAAAATACTTTTGTTAACATTAGCTAAGTGATTAAAAGTAAAACTATTTATTATTTAAAAATATAATACTATAATAATTTTTTTTCAATACATATTTTTAGTTATTTATAAATAGTATTAAGAATTAACGTTGACAAAAGGAAAAGGCGAAAGAATATAAATTAAAATGATTGCCCAAGATTAGCACCTTTACTTTGCGTTAAATAAACATGCAACGCCATCCACATGGAATTATTTGGCAAAAACTTAGCCATATAAAAATTTAAAAATATTTGATAATACTTTTTCCTTGCTCTTGTCTATTTTTTAATTAAAATTTTGTTTTTATTTATACATTAATTTAAGATATTATTAATTTTTAACCACATCTTTATTGTGATATATTAAATATTTTATACACTTATTATAAATGAAAAAATGATAGTACATGTTGTATTAAAATTTAATATTAATTAAATTCCTTTCTCAACTAGTTATTTTTTGAAGTAGATAAATGAAAATAAAAGAAAAAAATAATAAATATCATTTCAATTTGATTGTCACGATGAGACTCCATGACTTTATAATATTTATTGAAAAATACTAAAAATATATTTTTTTAATACACTTCTAATTTAAATTTATTAAAAAATATATGTTTTATTGTTAACTTAAAAATCTTATTGTTAATTTAATAACTTTTTTATACGTTTATATTTTTTAATAAATTTTAATTAATTGTTAAAATAAGTTAAAGAGTGTGTTCCTATCATTCTCTTTCAATTTATTCTCATTTCACATACATTCACACCTCGGAGAATTAAGAGTGAATACAATAATTTTAATTTACAAAAAACAAAAACTTTAAAGGGTGAGATGAAAGTGAAACACTAAAATAAAGGTATTTATGAACAGCTAAAACATATATGTTTGGCTAGCAATTGAAGTATCGGTAAAACTTACAATCAAATAAAAATTTGGATTTATATAGAGAAATTCATTTTACATTTCATGTACATGTAATATGACTTTCAGAAAAAGAACGTAGGTACGTGTCTTTTATTACTCTTCAGGGTTTATTATCATTCAAATTCAAATAAATTTGATCTAAAATACACTTTTTGCCCTTATATTCATAGTAAGAACATATTAGACAAAAATTACTTAAATAAAAAAGATAAAAAGCACATAAAAATAATAATAATAATAGACACTCCAAAACATGTTAGTAGTTAATGAAATTTATAAAATTTAATTTTCCAACAGTGCATTCGACAAAGCATGTCATCTAAATCCTAAATGGAAAGCTACTTTGCTTGATGAATGGGCTTTGGGATTCATCTCCTCTGCCATTTCCTCATCACTACCTCAAGGGGTCAAATTACTACTGAAGGTGCAAGAATAAATATGGACCCTAGCATAAATAAATGAAAATTTTAAGCAATAGAATATTGCATATAATAAAAATGTATTTAATAAATTTTGTTAAATATTATAAAATATAATGCATTGACATTATTAAATACTACAATTTCTAATAAAAATATACTATATAAATTCTTATTATGTGCAATATTGCACATCTTAGACAAATTATAAATAAATTTAGGAAGTAGGGAAGGAAAAGGAAAAATAGGATGAAATAATCGAGTCAGCATGGGCAAATAAATGCTAAGTAAAAATTATGATACATGTACATTCCTCAGCAGCACTAAAACAGACCGTTGGCCGAAAAACGACAAACCAAAAAACAAGCCAATCAGAAACAGATTGGAGAAGATACATGTATATTGATACAAGTGAATGAAGAGTGGCATTCACAAATTAATCTTGCAAGCTGTATGGAACTGAGAAATCCCTCGTTGTAGTGTAAGTCACAACGACTCACAAACAGAGCAGAACTAGAATGTGATCTCACATGGCGCATGAAATGTTCTTCCTCGACATATGGGTTCCAGGTTTTCACCAGCATATGAACAGAGTGGCGACACTTCAACACCTGAATGAGGGGCCATGAAGTTTCATGAATTGGAAAGGAAGAGTTAAATAAGATAATTTTCTCTAACAAAACATATATAATATCTTCATCTTTTTCTCTCACAAACTGGCTCTCCATGTTTGCGTATCTGTCCGACTAAGAGGCCTAGCCACTATATTTTCTTCTCTACTTGGCAAAAGGGGAGGAATAACTTACCTGTTGCATATAAAGGCACTGAATGTGTTAAGAAGCCACCTGCAGCAACAACCCAACGAGTATGGAGTCGAAGAACTAGCAGTTTTGCGCTGTCTGGAGTGTCAACATTGGATCCATTTGCATTTTTTACTGGTGCAAATTCCTCCTCTCGTAATACCTGAAGATTGACGCATAAAATATGCAATAATAAGGGTAGCATCCTTGCACAAATATCATGCCAGGAAAGAAATTGCACAATTTCATGGAAAAATTAGAATTATAGTCACCTCAAAAAGTGCAGTTGTTGGAGCATATGGAAACGCATCAAATATAAACTGTTCAAGTTTTAATCCCATTGTATACCCATGTATGGAAGGGATTTTCTTCTCCGCAAGATGGTAACTGCACATAAAATCAATGCATACATCAATATCTATAAAAAACCTAAAAGTTGGCTGATTATATCATCCAAATGGGTCCAAAGTAGTATCAACACCACTTTTGGCTTTATTCACATTTTAAACTTTATTCAGTTCAACCGCTGATAAGTCAGGCATAAGAAGAATTACGATTAATCTTCCGAAGTAGTTTATGTCATCTGATTAAACTAGCAAATTATATGACCTTTTTACTACCATCGAACTGGTTATAGAGCAATGTAACATTTTCTTAAGATTGAGTTTGGTTATATGACATTAAGACTACAAGGTTGAATGTCTTGCAACAAATTAATGTCTTCACACTTGGATTTAAGATAACAATGAGAGGCGAGATGGGACAAACAATTTTGCCAAAACACGTACATGCTGTCTTTTTCAAGTCCATTTGCCACTTGGTTGAGAAAATCCAAAGTGAACATGTGTAAGCAGACCTGAAATCACAAGGTTAATCAGAAATCTTAAAGATAACTCAAAATGCAGCCAGTAAAAATAATCATCAATTTCTAAGTACAAAGTGAAAAAATGTTTTTATGTTCTATGTATGAACATTCATGCTTACACATGATCACCCGTAATAGCATTCATCTTATACTACTACTACTACAACAAAAACAGAGCCTTATACCATTTATGGGGTCAATTAAATAGACTAATCGACACCTGTGAGTCTATGATCTTTATGAATTTCCCGTTTTGGTTGATAAAGGAAATAGAGTTATAGATCTATGAGACAAAATATGTGGCAACTGCATCAATGCATGGGAAAAGAACTGTAGTAATTATATCTTTCAGAATTTTTTGATACAGATCCTGAAAGCATTGATAAGACAATAAGAAACAAACGTAGATGACAATTTTCATTTCATCATATATGATTCCCATGGTCTCTAATACATGATCTTATCATAGCACAAAAGCTCCTGTCGAAATCTCAGCATGTCACTGTCAAATGTAGATAATTGATACTTTTGGTTTCCACTTAAAATTAGCAGTGATTGGGCTAGGGAGACGATGTAGTTAGTTAGAACAGTTAGGCATGGAAGTTGTAGAGGTAGAGAATTAGATGAAGATTAGAAATGAGTCGTCATTCTGACATTATCGTTTGGGAACTGAACATTAGCTTTGTTGTAAAAGGGACTAAGGAGAAACCCTTGGAAGAAGCATGCTCTCTTCTTTATTTTGTGATTTAGTAGACACTTCTTTCTATTTTCCTTTCATTTCTCTATTTTTTCTCATCATTTTTTTTTCTGAAACCTCAACCTGTTTCTGAGTTCCTAACATTTAGGGTGCAAACTCTTCAACCCCCTGCTTTCCTTTCTAGAAGATCATTGCGAAAATTCAAGGGCATTGATCCTTAAATCTAATAGCAAATCGAGTGCAGAAATAAGCCAATAGGTTGTAAAGAGGAACAACAGACTAACATTACTCCAACAAAATCGAAGACGGCCAGTTGCTTGATTGACTGCAGAAGCTAGTGATGGGTCCAACTCGCTGTATTCAACTACCGTAAGAGGACCACCTTTACCTCGCCGAACAAACACACCAACCTTTTCATGTGGATATGCCTGTCACAAATGACAAAATTTAATAAGCACCAACTACGCTAAGAACAAAATCAATTGAATTATTGATTTAAAAGAAATCCTACTTATCATCTGCCTCATGCAATTGTCATTAATTATCAATCCAGAATATTACCAGAATCAGAGCAAGATATAGAACTCCAAACATATTAGAAGAAATAAAAAAAACATAAATATATATTTTTAATGCATGCCTCCACTGTTTTCCTTGGCTAGCATGTCAAAAACAGATAGCTTTTTCTTTTGTTCCTTGGCTAGCATGTCAAAAAAAAGATAGAATCATAACCATGTAGACAAAATACAGAAATAAGTTGATGTAGCATGGGAGACGAAAACAATTACAGGCCTGTAATGAAAAACAGGATCTAGCTAGTCAATTTAGCTGGTCAAATTGCATTAGTTCAGAGTTAAATTAATTAATAGATGCTGACCTTGTGTTTAAAGTTCAATCCAGTATATAAACTTTTTAATATAGCAAATCTGCATTTCAAGTCTACATGCCTAAATAATTTAGTCCCTGAGTTCTTTCTTTTTGTGTTATATTTTCAACAGCTACAGTGTTAGGTTAATTAGTCAGGTCCAAAATTACAGTCCATGGAAATATGCAACATCATCATTATCAGTTTGTTTGGCAGGGGAGGGAATAGCAAGAATATTCCAGTCTTGTTACTGTCCAATTTTCTTTCTTCAGATTAATAGAAGAAAATGAAGCACTGAATCTTTAATTGAGTTAGAATCTCAAGCAATATCAACTAATTGTGATGTAAGAAAAGGAAACCATGAATGAAACAACAGCAACAGATTCAAAGACTGGAACTAAACAGGGGAGAACCAACAAAAAAATGTTTCATGCAGAGTCATTATCAACCTACTGACTATTGCAGCATTCATCTAATCATGAACAATCATAGGTAATCTTCAACTATACAACCTAGGGTTAGATCTTGCCCATTTATTCAAGAATAAACTCCTTAAATACAATGTTCATTATTTCAGTGAAAAGGTAAATCCATGCAGCTACAAGATTTTCTTTCTTTGCACAAAGCAGAGAAATAAAAGTAATAAATAATTTCTCAAACTCAGATTATTCAAAAGAGATGACTGAGTGACTAGTCAGGAATAACTTAATCGATCTGTCACCTTGCGGACAACTTTTGCAGCAGCAGCTACACCTTTATCAATGAAGTAACCTAAAAAGGTTGGATCAGCAACTCGAACCTGTTTCACAAGTCTAGTCAATACATATTTAAATAAGAAGCAATAACTGGTCAGGAAAATTGACCAATTAAAGAGACAAAATGGCAAGGAAAAAAATACCAGTGCATTGTCAACTCCATAGCAATCAATATACTTAATTCCTTTTGAGGCCATATCCTCCAGTAATTTGGTAGATTTCAGAGCTGAACAAAAATAAATAAATTCCAATATATTCAATTTTTACCAACCAATATGTAAAAGATATTAAAAGAACACAATATATGTCAGCATGACAGATTGGAATTTGAAAAGAAGGGTCATTTAAACCATATGGTACCTGAATACACTCCACCATTCCCATCAGGAGCCTTTGCTACCTGGCTTTAAAAGTTAAAATTATTAAACCACAAGACAGAATTCAAAATAAAGGAACTAGAGATAAAAGTAAGCTAGATAGAACTATATTATTCTGTCTCTTTTCTGTAAATAAAGCCTTCTCTATCTATAATGTTATCCAGTTTCTATCTAGATTTTATTAACAGAAAAGATTACAAATGATTCCCAGGACTTTCAAGAGGCCTGGACTCTCCCATAACAATTGAATTTTCTTTCAAATCACAAGATAAAATCTCCCTGTCAACTCCTTTTCTTTTTTATAATTCTACAATAGGCAGTGTGCCTTATTTCTCTAATTATCCCATACCCTAACTAACTAATTATGCTAGTAACTAAATACGGTTATCTAACATAAACTCTTGGCACCCTCATTTTAGTTGACATTAACGTATACCCTGTATGGAGTCTCCATAATAAATCTACCATCCTTGGAAACACATGGGATTGTTCCTTGCTGAAAAAAGGTAACCTACATAAGAAAGGTGAGTCAATGTAAGCAAACCATTGTATAACAAGTTCTAATAGTATAAGAAAAAGGTTTAGAGACATCTTACCTGTTCTGCCTCAAGACCAAAAAATTTATGATTTTCAAAGAATTTGCGTGTTGCTTCATCAGTGAATGGACTAGTCATTATGTACCAGTGTATTTGTGCTGAGGAAGCAGAAGCTGCAATACTTTAAATGATAAGAATGAGACAGAATAAGACATGAAAAAAGTGAACCAATGCAAATTAGACTTACTCTCATTTGTAGCTTGAGCAGCTAGTCTCTGTACACATAAAATCTTCTCAGCTTGAAGTTGAAAAAGCGATTTTCCAGATGGAAGTCCAATATCTAAAATTAAATATATTAATACACGAATAAAAGATATATTTAATACAAACTGCAGCTACTTTGATACAATTTAGGAGTCAAACTTAGCAGAATCTTAGGTGAGACAAAAGGAAAAGGGTACTTAAGCAGATTGAAAACACACTTAGTATTCATATTTACGCTCAGTGAAAAACTTATTGATCCAAGAATCAGAAATTACTAGATGCCTTTTACTTCTACATGCAATATTTAACTTGCTTGTAAGCCTTCTGTGCCAAACATTCAACTAGTACTTTCCTGCTTTCTTGACGATTATATACGGTGTTATTTCTTATCAGTATGATTTGAACCAAATAATTTCTATATAAATGGAAGTTTAATGGTTTTCATTTCTTCCAAAGTAATTTGTAGTCTTCCCAAAACTTGTTTATCTGAAAGAAGTATCTACCATTGGTTTTAATTACAATGATCTTACCTAGAAATAGAAGGGAGAGTAGTGGGTACATCAATATATAGTGCATAAGTTGTAAACATCATTAAAACCCACAAAAAATGAAGAATGAACTAAATGGAAAGAAAAATACACTTTTTATCATTATATGGAATTTTATAAATTTCCAGGTCCAACAATATTGTTATAACTGAAGATAGCAGAAACTGATGGGAATCTTCCCTATAGTGAAGTGGTTATGAGCCAATTAATTGATCAAGTTTGTAGTGGGCCTAAAATTTGGAAGATTTACACTAGGAAGTGAAAAGGAACACATGAAGGAGAATAAGAGTTGTTGTGAGAAGGGAAGAGAGAGAAGCGGGGTGCATTGGCAAAGTGAGTTTTAGTTATAGAAGAATGGGAAGAGAAGGAGAGAAAATATAGTTTTGGGGACATTTCAGCCACTGTAGGTCGGTCTCTCAGTCATGGGAATTGACAGTTTTATCATACTTTCGTTATCTTCTACTTGTATTCCCTACTTTCATCTGAAAGATATCTACTGTTTCTGTCGAATCTCTTGTACATATATGAAGCAAGCATTTCAGTAGTATTGTGCGTCTGTGTCTATCAAACTGGTCCTAGGTGAGCTTCAATAATTTGTTTTCAGTATCACATGAGAATACTCACTGAAGCATCCTTTTGGATCTGAACTTCCAAGTCGAGTCCCCTGCATTTATAGTTTTGGGACATTATTAGGTCAGACAAACAGACAGACAATTTGAAATTTAACAGTTATAAATGAAGAATGAATGCTACATAAAAATGTCCAGGTGCAACAGGTCAGCTAAGAAGGTGCTTGTGCTACATAACTAATATTCTGAGGATGAAGACAGCAAGCATCTAAACAATTCAAGGATTTTTTTTTTCCGTAGTCAAAGATTGGTTTATGCATTGCATCATTTGTAATATCTTGCATGACACAACTAAATGATTAATCAAATGTTTCTCCAGATTTTCTGTTGTTAGTAGGTACTCGTATCTCAATCACAGCCAATATAAAGTCTAGTGTAAAAATTACCAAGAAGAATTTGACTTGGAAAATCCAACAAAATTAGGATGATGTCGGGCTAATATTCCAGACTTCATGCAGCCAGCGTTGAGAAAAAAAAAAAGAAAAGGCAAACCCATTGTTTCTAAAATTGAAGATGGACTTAGAATTGGATGAGCATAAATTATTTACATCAAATGCATAGCCATATGAAAATTAGACATTTTTTACAGCAAAAAAATTATACTAAGTTCACGATATTATCCTTCTTTAATAAAAACAGTACTGTTTTTATTTTAGAGCTCATAATTTGGTAAAGGGAGACTTTTTATTTTATTATGGTAAAATAAAAAGAAAAAACAAAAGACACTATCTTGAAATGAGATTATTAATATATCTTGGTTAAATTATAATTTTGGTCCCTACACCAGATCCACTTTTTATTTTAGTCCCTGCAAAAACACACTGCATTTTAATCCTGATATGAAAATACTTTAAAAATTCTTCCCACGATTTATGGAAGTTATAACAGTATTAAAATACTTTTCATATAAAGACCAAAAGAAAAACGTTATGTGTAAGGATCAAAATGTAAAGTTTTTTATGGAGAGACCAAAAATTAATTATTTTTTTGTATGCAAGAATAAAATGAAAAATGGTGTCAAATATGAAGACTAAATATAACACCGTAAATACTCTAAATTGCTTAAAATAACAATATTAAATGTTTTTTGTGTTTTCAATATGATAGATGTTTTCATTAAGCAAATATTGTTTTCTAAAATATTTTTCAATATTTCCTACTTTGGTGGTCAGCATTCTCCTGTGCATTCTTTTCAGTACTTTATTCAATATTAGGAGGATTATTGAGAGAAAGTTATATGAAGATATAGCAAACCCCTTGGTATCTTTATCTTGACCCAAAATACTGTCATTATATAAGAAATTATGGTGTTCACTAAAAAAAAAAAATATGGCTTCTTCATATTCAAGTAGTCATGCTGGATTTATATATTTAGACAAACAATAACAAGGCCCAGAAAACAGGAGTCTTTTAGATAACTGGGTGGTTTTGTATCAAATTTGCACCTACAAATTGTTTTTCGAGCTTTTAAGTTAAATAGTCTGTAATGTGTTAATAAAAATAAAAAGAAATATTAGTAAAATACTCTTCTCAATATTTTTCTTATTATCGAGTAAATTTCATGTGTGCCGCACTAAAGATCAAAACTGGTTTTCCTGCTTAATTTATTTAAAAATAATCGTGCGTTAAAAGCAATATATTATTAGCATTTCTCAAAATAAAAGTAGGTTAGCACACATCAATGGGGACAAGATAGTATTATAATAAACTAATAAATAATGACAATATCATCGATGATGATAGTGGTCATTATAAAGCAACTAAATTAGCTGAATATTTTATTTACTAAGATATTTACAAATTATATTAATTATTTCAGCCATGAGGTCATATGACAAATAAACTAATACTGAAAAACCAGGAATTATTTTTTAGGGGAAAAAAACAATAGAGTATGAATAAGCGGGGTTAAAATTTAATTATTCCAAATATTATACTTTAAAGTTGATGCGATGCCGCTATCCAAATAAAACTTACATTATTATATATATATATATATATACCTATTTGCTTTTTGGTGGAATCCGATGGGATGAGAGAGGCGAGGGTATCCACATAAGTAACATAAAGCAACTTTATAGTACATATGATTACAATAAACCAAGTTAGAGCCGCTCCTTTTTAAGCCCTAAGAAATCAATCACCTATCATTATTATAAGTGAAAAACAGAAAACAGATGCATCATAGTAGTATACCATAACACATCAAAGCGGATTAGTAAAGTTGGAAAAAAGAAAAGCCATCTGCTCTTACACTTTCATATCTTTTCAGCCAATAATGTTGCTTTTTAGTGACAATCAAATGGAAGACCCACGAAGTCTAACTTGTCTCCAATGGAGAACGTTCTCAAAAGGGCAGGCATTATAACAAAATAATGCTGATAGTAAAATGGAGAAACCATATTGCTTGTTATCTTTAGTATCATAGTTATCATATAAATAAGGAAAATATTAACTTGAGTCTTAATGAGTTTAAGTATTAAATAATATTACGCTATTATACTTTTGTATTTTCAATCCAATAAATTTTTTTTAATGTAAACTTATTCTATTTAAATGCTTAAACTCAACATTGAAAATTAAAGTTATCAAAACTGAATAAATAACGCGTCTATAAAGTTAGCATAAAACATTACTAAACTAAAAGGCACCATTGTTGCATGTATTTAAAGATTCTAAACATCTGTGACTGGCATCAAATTAATATTGAAACAACCCATCAGTATTATCATTATCTTTTCCCCATTAAAAATAGTTTAAAAAGCATATGTATATGTCATACGAAACAGTTTCAAATATACCTGGCCACCAGATAAAAGCAATACAGCTAACTTTCCATCTGAAATAGCCTTCAATCCCATCTTCCACCATCTCTCTCGATCCTCTTGGCTTCTCTCCTCCACCGTCGACACACTGCTCTCCGGCACAGGTTCAATAGCAGCTGCCGGTAGCCCTGGGAAGCAATCACCAATCAATCACACGCGGCACAAACAACGCAGGCATCAACATGCATGCACGTGAAAAGAAATAACCGATTCGATTAGAAAAAGACAACAATGAAACCTTGAGATCGTAGTGAGCATCGAATAATCCGATCAATTCTCGAAAGATCTAAACTCTGCAACACGAAGCAGATTAATTAAATAATATAAAAAATCAATATCTCATGCTTCGAAGATCAAAATGATCCAAAAAATGAAAATCGAGAAGAAGTAGAGTGGCAAATCTGAAGCTCCGAACTGGATTGGCCACTGAATCGGAGGCGAATTTTTGCGGCGGAGAAAAGAGAGGAAATGGAAGGTGTGGATCGGAAGGGATTTTACCTCGATGTCCTTGACGAGAAGGTCGCGTTCTTCGGGGGAAAGCTCGTCCCAGAGGGCAAAAGCGTCTTCTTGACCGTAGTCCTTGAGCCTCTCGAGTAGAGCTTGTGGCGGCGGAGAAACGACGCCGTTGCCTTCGAATCCCACCGACGATGGTTCCCTCATTTCTCTCTTGGATTTCAGATCTCGAATTCTGAAGCGAGCGAGTGAGGTTGAGTGTTGGTGTTAATGTATGGTTGGTTTGTTATGGAGACAGGGGAACAGTGGCGAGGAAGACAAGAATCAAATCAGTAACCACCCTCCTTCAGTCACCTCTAAATTACCTAAATACCCCTCCCAATCCTCTCCCCCATTCTGGATTCTACAGCCATCATTATCCAACTCACTGCTAATTTCACCCAACTAAAAATTAAATAAACACGAGTTTTAAGAAAAAAATTTCTTGAATAGCACTTTTACTTTCATCTTAAGTCAAGATTTGTCACTTTCATTTAACCCAAAATCATCATCATCACCCATGATATTCTAATACTCTCAATATATTATAATTGAATTTTGTTTTATATCCTTCTACATTTTCTAAATATTCTTAATACTATTTCATATAAAGCTTTGTTATATTTGCCTAATAATTTTATAATTATTTGTTATTTTATAAAATGAATATTAAATAAAAATACATGTATTTATCATTTTAAAAAATAAAAAATCTGTAATAAATTTTTAGTTAATAATTAAAAAATTGTAAATATAAAAATAGAAAGATTTATAATTATTTTATTATAGAACATGTATTAAATAAAAATATATATTCATTTATTATTTTAAGAATATAAATTTTTTTTAATATTTTCTTTATTCAGTGATTAGGAAGATTATAGACAGAAGGTAATATTACTTCGAATTTTAGTTATCGGTAAAAACAAAATTACATAAAAGAATCCAACCATTTTGTTAGAATTATTTGTTAAAATTTACTAATTTATCCTACATTGATGAGTTTTGTTTTGAAGTATTCAAATACTATAATTATTTAAAATAAATAAAAAAATTGATAAAAATAATAATTAATATTATCTTAAATTTTTACGTGGATGAATATTTGAAAAGTTTTATTTTTTATACACATATTAAAAAAAAGGTTAAAATTATTCATTACAATTTAGTGAAAGTATTTATCATTAGTGACTCATCGCTGGCTCTTGACATTTATATTATCGTAGTTGACACATGCTTTTTGTTCTCCTATTCATAAAGACCACTAGTCTCTTCCTAACAGATTCTCTAACTTACAAATAATCATATCCTTATAGGTTGAGGTCACATATGCTCACCCAACACAGCTGAAAAATTATTTAAATTAAAGTACCCACCACAAGGACACATTTTATTTGTGAACAAAATATTATTTGTGAACTAAAGTTGATAATTTATGTATGTTTAAGCAAGCACATAACAATAGTTGATGTTTGACAGTTTACCACAACACACCCAACCGACCCAAGCAATATAGTATTGAAAAACAGTGGCATCGAGTGAGGCTAAAGCATATCTCAAATTTATACATACGCGGATATGCTCTTGATTTTATCAGATACTATAACATATCTTGTCATGCCATGGCCCACTGATGCAAAACTCCGATTTCCCCCTTCACCCTTATGTTCTCCAACTGCCATTGCATATTTTCATAGTTTTTACGTACTCACGCGAAGACGTTTGTTTTATACTGCTAAATCCAAATTTAATTATTAAAAATATGACTGCAAATCTAGAAATATTGCCCGCATATAACATCGCAAAGTAGCAAACAATCCATACATAGCAGAAAGTGGCAGAAAGTGGCGAAGAGTGCATATATTCTCTATCTCAACTTGTATTTACAAGAATCCCTAACCATAGTATATTAGGAATCGTTTGATTTCAAGAAATTATTATTTTTTATTTGTAAATTATCACTTTAATTTTATTTTAAAAAATTTATACAAAAAGAAATAATTTTTTTTTTATATTATTCCTTATATAAATCTTTAAAATTTACAAATAAACTGAAAAGAAAATAATAGTCCAATAATTAAAAGTTAAAAAATGAAAAAAGTATTTTTCTAAACCAAAAAACTCTTAATTTTGCTTTTATCTTTATCTACACAGCATTTTCACACCTAAAACAGGTTATTGCTCTTTTAGGGATGAAGAATAGTTTTTTCGTATCACTAATTTAGCATTCCCTTTATATTTAAAATGTATTTTATAAATCCGTGAACTAAAACAAAAAAAGTAAGAGAGAGATAAAAACAATATACGATATTATATACGATTATTAAAGTAATGAAACTATTTAGTAACAATTGCGGTTATGCACGATTCTTTCATCTCTATTTAATATTTTTTACAATAATTATCCATAACAGAAATAACAGCCTTTCACGCTGTATTCAAGAGTTGATAATTGCATGTTTCACAGTTGATATTAGCAGCCAAACAAACTCAAATTTACACGACCAAAAAAAACTCAAATTTAGACACTTGAGGTCACTTCTTGTCATCCTTTTCTTATTATCCTAATATTCACGAATTTTCGGGTCATTTTTGGATCATTATATATTCAAATCATATCACCTCTGACAAGTTAATCAAGAAGAGTTAATTATCAAAGTAAAGTTTTAATAAAGATCTCTGTTTATTAATAGAAAATAAGTTAAGAGAAAAAACAGAAGTACATGGAGGAGGAAAAAATACTTCGAAGCTAAATTACAAAAATCCTCAAGACAATAGAAGCAGTAAAAACCAGAACAGCAATCTGCTACAAAGAAATATAGCACAATATATAACTGAAGCTTACCACGAAGTTAGCAATCAGTTGTAGAATCATATGTTTATCAGAAATCACAAGGATGATGCTTTCTCATTGATCGCATCTTTAACTGCTCTCAGAAGTGACGGCATCAATTTCTGGTTTGTAACAATAATACCAGAAACAACATCAAGAAACTTTCCTTTTGAAAAGTCCAAAGGGTTCCCTGCAGCATCCGTGACAATGCCTCCAGCTTCTACAGAAATTCAATTGCATGTATAAAAGATTAGAAGCAGAAGACACATTCAACATCAAACCTTTTAAAACCTATAAAGGAAACTAAATATGTAACATGTTAATCGTAGACAGATGTCACAATCTTTTGCGCATTCCAATATCAATTACATGCACAGATGTCATTCAAAATGAGAGTTCAGTGTGTATAACTCGTTCACGAGAGTACAATATTGTCATTGTCTTGAAGACTTGTGTGGGCAAGAAAATTATAACAGCTATTTTTTTTTTCAACAATCCTGCTCCCTACTTTCTTCAGGCAACTGAAAAAAGTAATGCATTCAATTTCTTTTTCCCACCTTCTATTTATTTTCTGTAAAAAATGGAATTAATTATAAGACTAAACAAAGATCAATGCTAAAGAATGTGATAAAGACAAGTCAAACGTAATGAGTGACTGAAATCATATAACTATTTGGCAGCAAAGATCCTTAAATTTGTTGAAAAATATAAACTTATAACTATAACTAAGAAAGCATCGAATTCATATAAACAATTGCTGATAAAAAATTATGTTGGTGAAACCTATTCCCAAAAACTTATCCTCTAAGGCTCTAAGTATTTGAATTTTGGAAAGACTCCAGATCCAAGCATACCAAACCCAGAATGTAAGAAATCCTAGACATTATGTAGGACTTGGACTTAATAAACATAAACACCAAATACTATTTATGACCAGGTCTGAATAGTTATCGTTGCTTATTTTAAGAACATGTTTACCAAGAAAATATTAGCCAATTGCTTGCATGCACTAGCTGAAGGATGGTACGAAACGAAGTAATTCACAACAAAAAGAATGAAAATTACACACCAGTCACAACAATGCTGCCAGCAGCATGGTCCCATATTTTTTCACGGTATCCTTTGTGAGGAAAACGTAAATATATAGCCCCATCTCCTCTTGACAAAGCTCCATATTTTGCTTGGCTATCAATTCTGACCGGTGGTGCTTTGACACCAAGTTTCTGTTCATGAAGTCGTAATATTCAAGGAATGTTTGCAGACGAAATCTAAATGAGCTAAAAGAAAAGGCTAAAAAACAATGAAAAAGTACAAACGGTTGACAATAGAAATAGCATTACTTCTGCAATGGAGCTAGACAAGTCATGTGAGGAGTGTGCTGCTTCAAAAGATTCAAAAAATGATGCTTCTTCTGGATTATCAATAGCACTGACATGCACCTGAATGATGATTTGGTCATAGCACAACTGTCAAGGACATTAGTAAAGTGTCAAGTAAGAGAATATTCTATAAGCACCAACCCTAGTTTGTGTAGAACCACCCAATGCCTGCATATATGCTCCATCACCAACTTCAGCAAAGAAAAGACAACCAACTTCATTTGAAGAAGAATGCTGCTGATTACAGCCAATGGATGCCAGTGGAAGATTCGGACAAGCCAAGACACCCAATACAACTTTCCCCTCATGTAGCAAAGCTAATGCTATAGCATATTGATCTCCTCTTACAAACCTATAATGTCATCTCACAAGCATGAGCTACTCATTCGCTCATAAGCACAATAATAGCAGAGTCTATACAAGTGAAATAAATAGTATAAATATATAAGCTGTAAATCAGGAAACTAATTTTGACGAGTTAACGAAATCAAAGTAAATAAAGGGCTAGTAATTTGTGATATCAAATTTTTATCACTCCAAAAACGTAGATTTAAAATTTTATTTAACATGAACAGCGATCCAATTTTCATCATCCCAGAATCTTCTAGGAAAACTATATCGTCAATTTCACCATGCCAAGTAATAAATAATGACTTTGCCACAATTAAAATCATCTTTACAACTATATATTTGTTTGAAGTGATGAATTTCTATCACTATTTTTGTCTTACCTTTTTAATCAAGATATTGAACGATAACTGCATCTTAAAAAATAATCAAGATTAATAGCACTAGACAAATTTCATATATTTATGACATGAGATATTACAATACAAACAACACCATGTTACAAGAAGATTCCAAGTTTTTAGGAAGAGAAATTGATGAAGCTTAGACACATAGAATATAGTATTCTTTCATACCATTTTGATTTTAAAAATAAAAAATAAAAAAATGGAGTACTCACCCTTTAGTACCATCTATTGGATCCAAAACCCAGTGGCGCCCAACAGAACCACCTTCAGACTTACCATTGTCAATGGCCCTAAGCACATCATCTGTTGTTAAAGTAGAAAAACTATTTGATCCTTCACTAGCAAGAGTATCATTGACAAGTTCTGTAATCCGCTTCAGCGTATCCTGGCCACTTTCCTTACGAAGATCTCCTGAATCCTAGAGTTTTAAAATTGGACTTTATATTCAAGCATAGAAAAGAAAGAAGATTCTGCATGTCCAATAATTTTGTTAGAGTTTACAATTTCACCTCCTCGGCTACTAATGAAAATGGTTCAGAAGGAAGTTCTCTCTCAAGTATATAGCTGACCAAGGCTTGTGAACCTGTTAACCACATGTCAGCAACACAATATGAAGTGAATCAGCACTTCAGCAAAACCTCCATGAATGAGAGCAGCAACTAAAAGAAAAATAAAGAATGGAAAATTGCTGCACAAGTTATAAATAACTTTCCCTTTTTAAGCAGTCCAGATTATAGACAATGAAGCACAAGCTCAAATTTTACACAATCTATCAAAACAACAAAAAGAAAATTCCAGAAGTGATTCAAATTGCAGCCTCACAATGGAAAATATGAAATAAAACTATTTTTGGCAGGAGCAAAAGGAACATCCACTACTTTAGACACATGGAAAAGTTTTTCATGCTCAAGAGAAATCAGTCCAAGAACTTGCTGGGTGAACTATACATAATTAAGTCCTGCTTTGTATTTACAAGACAAATAATAAAATTTGGAGACACAATGCAGATAAAAATACAAAGTCAGCGCGATAGAGATATATAAATCAGTGAGGAAGGCATACAAAGCGTTTGGTATAGCTTCATATTATATCATGAAAGCAAATTATAAAATTCTTCTAAATAAAACGCTAGTATCTTAGATGTCAAATAGAAAATGAACATAATTCCACATTCTTTAGCTTCAATTTGTCAAGGCGTGTGTTTGAATTCACGTTTAGATAGCAATGGAACCGCATTTTCTTCAACACTATCCACATATACATGTTTTTCAACGAGTTTCCAAACACACAGAATTCATCCAAGCCAAGAGGATAACTAACATCAGTCAATAGATAACAACTAAACTTTGGAACTACAATTAGCTTGTCAATATTAAAACACAAAGAACAGTAAGATCAGAGAAGTAAGGTAACTAACCATAATCAGCCACAGTAACTGGACTTTTGTCAGATTTTGAGTGGACATCGGACTGCAAAAGAGCCTTTTGTACTTTCTGGATAAAGCACACATAATCAGTATCCAGAAAGGGTTTTTAATCTGAAAATAAAAGGAATAGAAAAAGAGAAAGAAAGGGTTTAGAAGCGAAGAATACTTGGCAGAGACAAGCAGCGAGAGAGGTAGCTTTCTTTGCAGCAGCGAGCTCCTTCTCGTAAGGCATTGAAGAAACGATTAAGGAGAAGGGGCTCAACCCTTTTCTTCTGCTTTTGCCTTCGCAAAGTTTCCAATCGCTTCGTATCGTTATTGCATTTCCTCTCAGCCAAAGTGAGTTCCTCATTTCTCTCTCTCTCACTCACTCACTCTTTTTCTTTTTTTTCTTTTTTTTAATTTTTTATTTGGTTATCCCATTCTCAGTTTCCTTCCCCTTCGCTGAAAATAAACTAATTTTTCTTTTTTCTTTTTTCTTTGCATGCTTTTTTTTTTTCTTACATTCTAACTTTTTTTCATATAAAATATGTGAACAATTTTGAGAAATGGCTAAGTTTCTTAAAGGCAAAATTATACTAGTACTTATTCTCAAAATTTTATTTGTTTTATTTTAATTCTCTATTTTTTAATGTTTAATAAATTATTTATTTTTTTCAATTTTGTTAATAACAGCTTTAGTTAATCTCATATTTTATTTCAGTATTGTTTCATTTTAATCCTTGCTTTTAAGTTAAAAGCCTAACAAATTAGTTTTTCTATTGACTTTCTTTTTCCTATTCAGAATTTAAATGCTATCTAGTAATAAGTCACCATGAATGTTAATTACAATCTTGAAAGAGCAAAAGACATTCATTGAAATTGCTCTGTATTTTAATACAATAATAATAAAAAAATTATCCTAATATGTAAGGACAACTAGATGATTACATAACACGAAATTGGTCAAAAATTAAATATTAATTTTAAAATAATAAAACAAATTGAAACATATTGATTATAGATATTAAAAAATGTTTATAAGAGTTTATATGTTTTTCAGTCTCTATATTTTTATTTTTTATTTTTTATTTTTTATTTTTTTTATTAACGTGGTTAAATGAAAGTTTATTATGTGTTAATTTTTTAAAATTACATTACTAAAACTAATATTTTACAAAAATATAAGGAGAACTTGTGTTATTTTATGAAAATTTTCAAAATTTTATTTCTGTGCGGCTTAAATGGTTGTGCATATGATTGGTGATTTTGTAACTAATGTACATGTGTTTATATGTATTTGTATTTGAGGTTTATGGTGTTTATGCATCTTCCTTGTCCAATCAAAATATTTCTTTTTAAAAAATATGTATACAAATTTTGATTGCACCCTAAAATCAGGCTCCGCGGTATCTTTTGAGGCATACTTTTTGGTCTCATGCTACTGAAGATAAAACAACAAAAGGCTAATCTCTAATATAGGAACACCCATATTCTATCTGCAAGAAGATTCAGATGAATAATCGAAGGGCTATGGTGTCTTAAATGACGAAGAAAGACTTGTGCTACAACAATTTTTTTTATTTACTTAAGTAATAAAACAAATGATAACAATTGTTAAGGCATTATAAATGAATAAAACTTAATCTAATCCTATCAACACTAATAATAGTAATGTATAACCTTAGCACAATTTTAAAATTGTTGACAAACATAAAATAAATAATGGTTCAATATTATTTAAAAATATATATAAATTATCGGTGAGTTTTAGCTATAACTAAGAAAATTGTTCTTTCTTTTAAATTTTGAGAATGATTTTTCAACTGCTTAAACCTTCAAATTTTCTACGATCCCTATGTTTTAGCATCTAATTGGTGCATGCATTTCATGTAGAGTATGTTTAAGTTTCACGCACACCAATCTCTGTCAATCAATCCTCGGATCTAATTCAAGACCCGGCTTACTTTTGATGCAATGATTGATTGGATAACTAATAAGTTTAAATAGCTTTGTATCACATTCATCATTATCATGAATTGTTAATATGTTATATGGTCAACAACTCCATGACTTGTTCATAAAATTGCTATTATTAATTGTCAACATAGACAAAACATGTATAAGCTCTTGCGCGGTGCCCAACGTTGAATATTAGTAAAAAATGCCACTCTAAAATTCTTCTTGAACTCACATAGCTTCATCTATTATAAATGTTTAGGTAAAGTTTCTTCCTTTGATTTCGTAGCTAAACAAATTTTGATTTGGCTTGCATATGAGTCTAGTTTGGAAGAAAGAATTATCTGATATTAGTGTGATTCGAGTTGACAAAATTTAAGTGTGAAAATGAGTTAAATTGAGATAAGCCATGTAAGACTTGAGTTTGGTCTAACTCTTAAGAGGTCTGAATCTGGCCCATTTATTTAATACTTAGTTCAACACTTAATAAATCATGAAAATAGACAATAGAATAAAGATCTCATTTTCTACATTTATTCCCAACGAGGGGTCTTCTTTTTAAGCATCGACCTGTAATTTATGGAAAAAAAATCTTTCAAGTCAAATGCTATACCGTTTTGTGAGACACAATTTGGAGAGCATGTTAAAATATTCTTGTAGTGAAAACTAATTTAAGAAAAATAGGGGTACAACTTGATGAATGGTGCTCTCTATGTGGCTTAAAAGAAGAATCAACAACCCATGCTTAGTAACTTGCGAAAAGGCTAAACAACGGTGTCAGCTAGCTCCTCTCTTGAATATTGACGATGATGTTGTTCCGTGGATGTGCAATGTGTTGTAAAATGCATTAACAATTTGACTATCTATTTACATTTCTCTTGGATCTTCATTTAGATGCCTTAATCTTTATATTATAGACAAACTTGTTCATAATCAAATATAGAACAAAGAAATATTATAACCAAAATAAATATCAAGAACAAAAGGAAGAAAATTTGTTTCAATTTTTAACTGACAAAAACATTAATTTCGTTCTTGAAAGAGAGAAGACGTTAAATTTAATCTCTATAAGAACATATTAAAATTAGTCACTTAATGTATAATTTATCTTTTATTTTAACTCATGAAAATAATAAATCCTTTAGTTTAGTCCCTAAAAAAATTAAATTTAGTCATTAAACATGTGACATATCATTTATAAATTAACTCTCACAAAGATAATAATTAATATAAAAAATAATTTTTTTTATAAATTAATAACAATTTATACTTCTTAAGTTTCACAGAAGTTAACTACTTATTGATAAGTGTATCCAAAAAACAAGTTCAATGTGCCCTTACAAATAATAAAGCAACAAGAAGAATGTCAGTATAATTAAAGCTAACTTCAAAAGAAGTCAGTGTAATTATCTTATTTTCTATACAAACTTAGCTTATACCTTTGATACATGAAATTATAACATCATTCAAGGAAGCGCAATGAATTATGAGATACATGTTCATGTCATGATGAATATTGCTTGGTCTTGTGCAACAACTTCTCTGCACTCAATTTTAAACAGCAGTTGTTCAATGGAGCAATCGGAGACCATGTGATAACATTGCATGATATTTCTTGGTGTCTTTATGACAAAAGACAGCCCCGTCTATTATGATGACCTGAGGAAGAAATATGAACACAACTCAGAAAAGTAGCCAACTAAGCAGCAGTGAAATCACTGAAAAGGTTTTTCAGCAGTCAGCAAAGGAGCAACCAAATGCTAAGTTCTTGTCATGTAAACACCAGAACAGTAGAACCAATGTTATTTCAATCAATATGTTCATGATGCCATTCTTTTGGTAAAGACAATCCCAATCAATGCTTTAACAGACACTATCAACATATATTCTCTGGCAGAGTCACATTGGGAAAGAGAAAAAATAGTATCATCTTAAGTAGATGCATTCCTTATTCAGTGAAGCAATGCCTCGGATAAGATACGAATCGATCAATTTGTGTGCGCAGCCTCCATTCATCAGAAGATTCAGAACAGCCAGTTTATGCTGAAGCAATGATGTTGCATCTTGATCTTGAATATAAATAATCAAGTCAAATAATGGGGTGAATATTTGTGTCATGCAATGCCAATTCCTTTGTGTCAGCACCAAAATGGGATACCGTCTTCTTCTCAGAAGCAAAATCCACATTGTGAACAAACTTTAACAAAGGTTGCCAGCCCTCTGATTTTCATCTTCCAACTCTTTCACCTGAAATTAAATAACATTCTTGTAATTTATGATAGGGTGATTTCTTCCGCTAAATTATGTTTGAGGGGAAAGCCCTTTCGGTTCCATATGCATTTTCTAAATAATGTTTTTTAAAAAATTGTCCTTAGAGGGAAAGCCATTGCATTGTTTAGAAGCTTACCGTGAATATGAATAGGGAAGAGATAAAAGAAAGATGGAAAATTTAGAGAGAGAGAACAGAATGGGAGGGTTCAGAAGAAGGTTAACAATTCGAAAGAACAACAAAATTATTAATTAAAAGCTGAGAAATAAGTAGTCCTCTAAAATGCAAACTAAAGCAATTCTATTTTCACCAGGACACAAAACCATAACTTGGCATATATGAATACTCCATTCTTGACAAAGTCATACTCTGCATCAACTGCAAAAAATATTGGGGGGAAAAGGGGTCATGAATCTTCAAAGATTTTATTCCAAATTCTTAAATTGTAAATATCTGTTTACAGCATGGGCTTTCAGAACATATGATGAGTGTGTACTGCTCAATAACCCAGAACTAACAATAACATCTCAAAAACCTATTACTAACCTCAGATAACAAGACTGTTTACATTGCCCTGCCTGCAATGAGAGGTTTGGGAGGAGATAGAGATCGAACTTCTGGTGCAGAACTAGGGAAAAGTATGTTCAGCCTGTGCATCAGTATATCAGTTCTAGAAGGAATTTCATTCAGAAGAAACTGCTGAACTATTGGTTTCTTAAAACACTCCATGACAGAATCTCCCGATGCCCGTAGAACCACTTTGCTCACCTCAAATGGTGATTCCACTGAGCTTAACATCTGTGCAGTCACAATCTTTAAAGTTGGTCCTGTCACCAATTTAATCCGTCTTGGGACAATACCATAATATAGCATGCGCTTTCTGAACCTATGAAGTGTGTGCACAACTGCTATAAGAGCAGCTCCAACTGACAAGTTTCTTACATCAAGGGACCAAGCAATGTGCTGGTCAAAAACTATAGCCTTTGGGAAAAGTTTATTCTCATAAGCCACCTTCCAAACACATCGAGCTCGATTTATCTGCCCCATAAGAACTAGGTAATTTAGAAGAACATTGACAAAATACTTTGCAGCACCTTCCTCCAATTCATAATCAATACCTTGAAAAAATTCTCTGACAAAAGATAACACTGGTTGTCCCCTCTGTTCTGGGCCAGTGAAAAGTCCACACATAAAAGAGTGTGCCTTGTGCTTAGTAGCACTAAGGATAGACATCAAATGCCTCTCTTTCTGCTCTTCTTGACACCTAACAAGATGGGCTAAAATGGAGGTGTAAAGTATCAAATCAACTTTTGCAGCAGAGTTAACATATGTTTCAAGAAGTGGCTTGGCTGACTCATACAAGCCATTCTTCATGCATGACTCAAACAACTGTCTGATTATAAAATTATTGGTTCTGATTCCTGATGAACCCATGAAACGCAGCCACCTCAAAGCAAGATCGACTGAACCTTCCTTAATATACACCATCAGAACATCACTAGCTGTCACGTCCACAGAATACCCCATTGACTTCATTTCAAGTAAAATTTTTGCAGCCACATCGACCAGCTTCTTATTAGCCAGTAGAGTCAAAAGAACAGTATAAGTGCTTAGGCCAGGCCTTAATCCTGCATTAGTCATTGAATTGTACAGTCTCATGGCATGATCAATTTGCCCAGATGCAGCATGCATTTCCAAGAGACAAGCATATGTAGATGGCGTGGGTAAAAATCCTGCCTTCTCCATATCTGAAAATGCAGACATAGCAACTTCAAGCTTCCCTGATTTTGCATGGGACTCAATAACCAAAGTATACAAGCCAAAGTTAGGCCTGAACCCTGCTTTCTTCATCTCATCCCAAAGCCTAAGAGAAGTTTCTAACTTTCCAGACTTCACATAAGATTCAATCAAAGAAACATATATAGTAGGGGGTGGCCTGTATCCATAACCTTGCATCTCCATGTAAACCTTCATTGCGCTGTCCAATCTCCCTGCCTTCCCCATTGAATCAACGAGTGATGTAAAGATGTTCAAACCTGGCCGGAAATTTCTTCCTTTCATTTCTTGGAAGAGTTTGAAAGCAGCATCAAGACGGCCTGACTTTGCCAAGTTTGGGATCATCAATTCATAAGTCGAACTATCCAACGAGCAATTGGCTTTTTCCATGCTCTCGTATATCTCAAATGCCTTATAAGGTAAACCCTTATTCAAAAACAAAGTAATGAGCGAATTATACGTTTCAGTATCAACATTACAACCTGCATCATGTATCTTCTTAAAGCAGCAAAAAGATACCTCCAACTTCTCAGCTTTAGCCAAGTACCGAATAACTCGATTATTTGCAATAGTCATGGAAACCCCACTATCAGCACAATCACCAACCATCTCATCAAACAACGATTGAATCCCATCAAAATCCCTACGCTGGTTCAAACCATCAAATAACATAACATAACAATCATCACTAGGAGAATACCAGGACTGCCTCTTAGCCCACCTAAACAAACTCAAACAAGCATCACCATCATTAATGACCTTCAAAGCTTGAGTAATGTGGATCATGTTTGGCACAAACTGAAGTTTGTCCAATTGGGTCTCCAATTCAGGACCCCATTTCCACCTTTTAACAACCTCAACAATCTTGGCCACAGCCAGGGCATTCAAAAAGGGTTTCTTGACCTCACCCACCATTACATGATCATCAAGACCAGGTTCCACTGACCTTATACCCTTACCTTTGTAAATAACACTACCTGATTCATCCAAGTACTCAATTTCCTCAGTCCACTCCTTAGACCCACCACTATCAGAACAATAACATCTCAGTAAATGAACCTGACCCACAAAGCTAAAATCTTTACACAAAACTGGGTTTCCCCAACTGTGAGTGAATCTGTTTGTAGAGGTCAAAAACGTTAACTTTTGGGCAAATGGTGTTGGGGAAATGAAGGGGTAGGAGCGGAAGAGAAGAGAGAGATTTCGGGTGAGTTTATAGAGATTCGTAGTAGTATAAAGCAGATGGCGATTATGAATCATTGAATTATATGAAGGAGAAAATCACTAACCAGTTTCAATTAGAAAATTTTGTTCTTGTTCTTGTTCTTGTTCTCTGGTTTGTTACTTGCGTTGGTGGGTGTATGCTTGTCCTTGTTGTAGTTGCAGGTTGGGCAACGCTAAAAGCCTAAAACCCTGAAATACCATTTGGCAGAGTAAGCCACATACGAATACGATAAAATAATCCTTTTAAAAAAAGATAATAAATAATTTTTAATTACTTTTGAAATTTTCGCTTCTATTTTCTATTAACGATTTTTTATAAGTTAAATTAAAATTCTTGACTAATAAAATAAGTAACAATTTGATAAACATGTCTAAAATAATTTTAATGTCTTCTTTTCCATTTTTATACACTTCTTGAAAATGAGTTTTTTTTCTCTCTCTTTTATTTCAATGTATATTCAAATATATCATTGGAGACTCATTTCTCCATAGATTCTAATAGGATGCTAGTAAACAATTAAACTTTCTTTTCAAATTTTTAATGTACTTTTTTCTCTTCTACAATAATAAACATTTGATCACATATAATATGAATGTGAAAAATATGTATAAAAAGTGATGTGAAATGAACACTCTTGTGCCTTGAAAAAATAACATATCACTGATTTATGCTACATAACGTGTGTTAGAAAATAAAATAAAATAATCAAAATTATAAAATAATTCTATTATTGTAATGTGATATTGTTACTTTATTATGTCTTTGTTTTTCACGCATAAAGTATTTTTAATTCGTAGTTTAAAACTATTTCTTTTAAAATAAAAAAATCACTAGTATGAATATCGATTTTAATACAATTTTTATTTCATACACATAGCTATGAATTGAACCTGATCAACTTAGTTTCTGAGATTTGGTTATCTGCTAATTGTGCTAAGCCTTGTAGAGACTGTCCTGTGATTTCTAATTCCAATGATGGAGGATATAATTTTAGGAAAATAAATAAATTTTGAAATGTTATAACTTCCATTAGTTTTAAAAAACTCAACGAAAATAAAAAAGAAAAAAATGCTATGAATTAGAAAGGTAAAGTGACAGAATTAAAACAATGTTCGTATGAGACTAAATTGAGAACGACCTTATTAGTTAGGAGCAAAATAATGCTAAGGTCTTATAAAAAAAGATGCAGTATTTTAAAAACAAATGTTTTTAGTTCATCTACAGGAAAATTGGATTGATGAAGAATTAACGATTGGGATTCTGATATCTTAGTAAACACTAAAACTTTCTTTTGATGACTAGCCAATTGGATCAAGGTTTTCCAAGTTTACTTAAGCCTAACCTTTGAACTAATATGCAATGAATGATATTAGGTGTGTATAACTTGCGCAGGATGATTCAAAGAGGTTGGCAACCAATGTACAGATGGATGATGACGAATGGAAGGAATAATTTCGAGAAAAAAACTATGAAGGAAGTCCATTCTTCAATAATTAACAGCCAAAACCAAATGGATGGCTATTTCAGGATGAAAATTATTGAAAGAATTTCGTAAACTTAAGAAATACAAAGAAAAAAAATGCAAAGAATTGTTATCGAGTAAAAATACTTGTAAACATTATTGAATAGATGATCTTGATACATTTTAAGCATGTATTCATAGTTGTTGTGTGAATATAAACAAAAATACATATTATCTTGGGAAGGTTGTTTTTTGACGAGTGATTAGTTCCAAGCTTTAATTTTGAAAGATAACAGACATTCTTTCTTTCTTTCTTTCTTTTTTGCTATTTACATTATTTCTTTCTTTGATTAGCTATCTTTTGCGATATATTTTATTAAAAACGAGTAACTTTGCTTAAAATTGAACTTCAGCCTTTTACATTTTTACGGTGTCCAAGTGTTAATGTTCTTGCTCAAATTTGTTTGGTTGGGCCATTTCATTTGATCATTTGATTAAAAATTGAGCTTAGTGTAAGAAAACAATGGCTATCAATTTAGGGAAAAAGTTGAGATGAGATGAACTTCGCGTGAAGAGAAGACTGTAAAATAACGAAAAAATCAACGATTTCAAGAAGTATAACCATACCCATTTGAATTTGTGAAAATAGTTTTTGATTTATATGAATTTATAGAAGTTTGTTTCAACAAATTTGTTGATGAAACTTATCAAAAATTAGTTTTAATTCATTTGAATAAATTTTATAGTCGAAGTTATGATATTATCATGCGATAATAACTTAATGATTTAAGTATTTGATTAAATTATTTAGTCAAATACGTTCTTTATTGAAAAAACCTCAACAAATTCATACGCCAATTATTTTTGTATAGCAGCCACAAGGAACGATAAAATATAGCCTTGATAAGCTTAACTAAGAGAGAATTGCTCAAGTATATGAAAGGTTTTACGTTTCGCTTTCCATTTGCCATTGTTAACACTACCGAAAATAATAGCGAATACTACAATTAATACCAACTCATTCTGTAGCGCCACTTAAATATACCAAAGACACAATACAAGTATACATTTCCAGCTGGATATTTGACATTACATGTTTCTCTAAGAAATTATATTGAGAAAAACCTCACCGAATAAATATTCAAATAAAACAATCAACCAAAAGTAATTGTAAAAGCTATGCAAAAATAGTCAGGCAAAATAAAATTCTATAGGCGCACACTACCGAAAATAAAAACCGTAAACTGACGAGATAACCAAGTCCACACATTTTATAGTAAATATATAATCTTCATAGACAATAGCAATGATAACAGAGGAAATCATTAGGTCCAATCACGGTCTAAACCGAAAAGAAAAATTTCTCAAAAGCTAAAGACATTAAAGACAACAAACTTTATCGAAGATAAAACAAAAATCCTTGTGCCTACGAATCAGCTGTGAATTCTACTGGCGTCTTATCACCTGAGTCTGCAACAAAAAATTCAATGTAAAATTAGGACAAGTTAAACTATGCATAAAACCATGCAGATAAGACATTTAATAACATCAAGAAGATCATGAACAAATTGTGACACCACTCAAACAAGAATCTGACCATATGGATAAACTGCAGAGGATTCATTTCCTTTTTTCATCAAAAGCCAGAAGACACTTTTCATAACTAATTAATGACATCAGAAAATTTATAAAATTATAAACCATAGACCTGCTTTAGAAATCACCTAAAAAAATCATTATCAACCAACAAATAGGCATAATGCTTAAACAAAAAAAGTAATACATAATCCTCTGATAGCATTCCAAACAAGAACTGTGTTTTTCACAAGTCCTAATTAATTCTTTATGTATATAATGGACAGATGTACAGAACAAAGATGTATATTACAGTTAACATTATTGATTAGAAATACGGCTTCTTCTCTTAGCTAGCATGTAGCAGTAGAAATATTGTTTTGCAAATTCTATTATTACACTAGCAACTTTGGTATAGAGACAAGAGTCTTAACTAACCAATAAAAAGGAAAAGCAAGTGAACAAGTCAAGCATTGATGTAAGATAACTGAATAATCAACATGAATGTCATAAACGCAATTGGGATCCAAAGATGCATTTCATCCACTTACATAACACATAATGTACAAGACAGGACTTTCCAAGAATGTTACATAGGAAGATGGGATAGAAAAGACAAAGGACAGACTATTTAGAAAACATCAGCATTTGAGGGTTTACCTCATATATTACTTGGATACATGAATACTCTTACCCGTGCTCCCTGAAATACATCAAAGCTCAAAAAAGTTAGAAACCATTAAAAAACACAATTTAGACAAAAACGGTGCTGTTAAATTATTACCATTGATCTGGGTGGAAGGTTTGACTTGAATTTTGCACGAACGATACCACTGTTACCATGAGGCCTTGCAACCTTTCCCCATATGCAGCGGTAATGGCTTCCATTTTTCTTCACCTTGGCCTTGTAGATATACGCCATTCGCTTGCCAGCGTACCATGCCACCTCTTCCTTGGTGTTAACTCCCTCAATTTGGATCAGGGATGTGTTTGGGTACTGGTTTGATTTGGATCTGCAAAACATCATCTTATTATTATTAACCAAATAACCTGACAAGATTATGTACTGTGTTTGTGACAAAAAGCCATCTAACCAGACATTTCATTCCAAGAACCCAAACACAAGATGATCTAAGAATAGCAGGGCTAAAAGCTTTTACCTTTTGTATCCAAGGATTGTGCCCCTCACGTAAAGTCTAATACAAAAGAAGAAAAAGTAAAGTATTAGATTATTTTTTAATAAATGACATGGCAAGAGATATAAGGGCATATAGTCGACACCACATATACACTCGAGAACTTTATCACGAGGAAAAACAAATTCTGAAATGTTACAAAAAACCAGCATTCAAACCAATTTTTACAAGTGAAATAGTAATTGATCAGTGAAGTAATTTATCCAAGTCATACATATCTTTTCACTGACAGTAGCCTTGCAATGCAGTCGAGTTCAAACAATCACAACTACACCTACGCCAAACCCTTCAACTTCCAAGACCCCAAATAAAATAAAAAAAACAATACAAAGAATGATGAAAACGAGGGCATGGCCATTTCTATGACAAATCAAACGGTTCATACCAAAATTGAACATGGAATTTTAAAATAAAATTTGCCCCAATTGAATTTGACAGAGTTACTAATAGAGCGAGAGCTTGAAGGAATCAAAGAATACCTGACGCGTTCTCCTTGGCGTCCCTTCACCATCTTGGTTGCTAGCTGCAGCTGACACACGATCACAGAAAGCGGCGTAACCCTAAAACTCTCCGATTTGGGTTTTTAAGGGTTTTATAGGGAAAGCTCCCAATATAAGGCACTGTCTGTTTAGGTTTTTTAGCGTGCAAGACCCACGTTGTCAATTTATGTTTCGGCCCAATATATATGTTGGGCACCGTTTGCATAGACCCAACATCTATAAGGTTTCTTCGACAAAAAAAAAATACGTCAATACGGTTTCTAGGTTTGTATGGTTTCTTATGACATATTTGTTGGGTAACCGTTATTGCCATTGCGACATTATTGTCCATTTATCTTAGAAATCGACAATTATTATTAATTTTATATTAAAATATGATAAAATTAGTAGTTTAAAAAAAAATATAAATATTTTTTAATCTCTAGAATATTAAAAGAATTACAAGTTAATTTAAAGATAATATACAATTTCTTCTACAGTGTTGCAAGTGTTTTTTAAATGTATTATATCAAGTGATTTAACTTCCTTTAAAATATTGAAGTATTTTATATTTTCTTTTCAAATTTTCATTTATTTTAATATCATTTGTTAAAACAATTAAATAATTTTTCTTTAATCTTAGGTTAAGATATGAAAATTATAATATGACTATAATTTTGTTCTTCTTTCATCAGAGGGCTAAAAGACAATTTAATTACAATTTAAAATGTTGGGAGTCAATAAAGAAAAAAGAAAAGAAAAGGAATAATAAAAGCATGGTTGAGCATGAATGGTAAAAGAGTTATAAACCCTATACCCTGAAAAGCCCCATTTGATTTGAAGTGAGAAACAAGGAAGCAGAATCAGGAAGAATGGCGAGAACATTGGCGCTTCGCTGGGCCTTACGTCACGCAATAAAGAGCAGCGTTCGGCCACTCTTCTTCAAAGCTCACCACAGCATTCCCTCATTCCCATCCAAATCCTCTCTCTTCGCCACCGCTATCGCCTCCTCTCAGCTCCCCCTCTTCCACCATTCTCGATCCCTCTGCTCCGCCTCAGGTCCCTTTTAGTCTCAACCTAATTGTTTCATCTTTGAACTCTACTGCACTGCAACGGCGTCGTAATAACAAAACCCAATGCTCCATTTTTTTCAGCTCCTTCCGACGTTGTCCTCGTCAATTCAGAGGAAGAGTTCAATAATATCCTTAACAAAATCCAAGGCACGTGTTTTCTGTATTTTCTTTCTAGTAATATTTTTATTTTCTATTACTTGGACTCCGATTTTACATGTTTTTAAATTACTTTATTTGTCTTCTATATAAATAAGCTGATTTATTTTTTCTTTGGATTTTTTGTTGAACAGATAATTCGTTGCACGCCATCTTCTATTTCACTGCAGTTTGGTGTGGACCTTGTAAGTTCTTATGTCTCTTTTGTTTTGTTGGCTATGATAAGATATTTGATATTAGTTGTACCCCATTTTGCTGTTTTGGTTAAGCACGGTGAAGCGTGTACATGACCACTGCAGGAGGTCAATGGGAGGATGATCATGTAATTTAACTTAAAATGATATTTGATGTATGATACTGGGTAATAAATTATGCTTCACTCATGTCTGATACTCATGGGATCTTCAGCTGTTTGTTAAACTCAAAAGAAGCATGTTTTGTGATGTACTTAAAGGTTGCTCAATTAATTCTAACCTATATCGGAATTAGGATTTTAGGTTTCAAGCACCCTTATTTATGATGAAAAATATCCACAAGAGCTAAATGATTGTACATTGTAATTTTGCCCATGTTCTGATTTAAATTTTACTCATTTCTCAAAACGGCCATTATGCTCATGTAAAATTTGTGTGGATGACATGTTACGTCCAGTGACAATCTGCTTAGAGATGGTGTTCGTTTTTCATATATTTTTCATGCTGCCTGTATTCTAAAGAGAATTTCTCACAGTTTTCCTCGTTTATATTTCTGTTTAGGCAGGTTTATTTCCCCTATAGTTGGGGAGCTCAGTAAGAAGTATCCTCACGTAACAACATATAAGATTGACATTGATCAGGTGTGGAATATATTTAATGGCGTGATATATGGTTTCAAATCATGAAACTAATTGTGATTTATGCTCTGGAATTTGGAAGGGCATTTTAAAAAAAAATAAAATTGTAAATTGGATTGTCCATAAGGACTGAACATAGCTTAAAATTTATGTTGTACATTAGTCTAATTATTTTCTTTTAATATTATAAATGCAGACATAATAAGAGATGTTTTTTAATGTTCTAATAACTAATCCATTATTTTATTTGTTTTTACTTTATTAATAAAATATAAGTCATGACTCACAAGAGGAGTACAAGACATTTTAAGTAACATTAATATTTAATAATATCATATAAATTTAAATGCTTGCAACAAGGAGTCAAGGGCATTATATAATTCATTTTAAAAAAATTAGCATGCGTCCCACCTTTCTTTCCTTGCTACTTCGTCTGCTTGTCAAATTTATCCTGATACTTACTTTGATGGCAACCATCAAGCTATTTCCTTTTCTGGGATCTGGTGGTTTCCCCCGTTTGTTTTCAATTTTCCTTGTTTTTATATTTTCCATTTTAAAAGTACGTTTTTGTGATGGCTTTAAATTTTCTTGTTATATGGCTCCAATTAGTTGTCATGCATCGAGGTGGTTTAAATTTTTACCTTTCCTCCCATCTCTCGCAGGAAGCAATTCAAGGCACATTGAGCAAGTTGCAGATTACATCTGTGGTAATTTATTTAATATTTTTGTTTTAAATCTATATGTTCAGATAGCATTTGCGGTGATAAAAACTTCTACATGTGTATTTGCAATATAATCCAGCACCCTTGTGAAACACAATAGCCATTTATCAGACAAATATGGCAGTGCAATTGGAAATTTAACTACAATTGTTCAGTCATATTTTATTAATGATGCATGTCTCTTGTTTAATTCGCTCTTTCCGGTATTGCTTCAATGATTATGATATAAACCTGTATCTTTATTACAAAAATAGCGGGATGAACTCCTCAATTTACAAAATAGAACACTGACACACTCAGCAGTTCTTTGAGGGACTGCAACTTCCAAGCCAAAGGCCCCAATATTCTCACAATTAACAAGTTACCCCCCCCCCCAGCCCCTTTTATTATTTATAAGCAACGTATATTCCTTATTTCTTCCATCTTACAACTAACTAACTAATTCAGGCTACTTTGATGTAGGTTGAACTTTCAATTTTAGATGCCATGTTCATGTTCTAAGTACTAATTGTAATATGTATAAACACAAACTTGATTAGATAAGTTATGTTTTCATTGTCAGTTGACTTTGCTAGTTTCATTTGTTGAAACATGCAGAAATTTATATGTTGTTGAACTATTGAACTATTGTGCTACATTAGCATTGGTTTTTATGTCAATTTGTAATTATGGAGTCGCTGAAGATACTTGACAATTTCAGAACATAAATCTCTGATGGCTTGCCGTTTGTGGTGCTTAATTTAAATGTTTTTTCACCATAATATATCTCTTTATGAAGGTCAGATACATAACAACGTTTTACCTTGATGCAGCCAACACTCCATTTCTTTCAAAACGGGAAAAAGGCTGATGAGCTTATAGGTGCTGATGTTGCACGATTGAACTATATCACAGAGAAACTCTTCAAGTAATCCTTTAGAGTTTATCTTTATGTCATGGTTTGTTAATATGATACCAGCACTGTGAAGCTGTTTTTCCCCTTCTCCTTCTTCCATTCCGAATGTGATCACTATCAATTGTGTGTTGTTGCAAAGGGCCTGTTTGGTTTCAGGAAACATTTCCTGTTTCCATTTTCTATTTTCATGTTCTGGAAATAGTTTTATTTTCAAATTTTTTAGATTTAAAAAATGTATTTGGCTTGACTTTTTATTTTGTTTTGGTGTCAGGAAATATTTCCTGTTTCAATTTTCTATTTTCATTTTCAATTTTTTAAGATTTAAGAAATGTTTGGTTTGACTTTTTATTTTCTATTTTCAAAAACAGAAAACATTGAAAATGCGTTTAATTTAACTTTTTTGATAATGAATTTATTTTTTTTATAGAAAGTTTAAAATTAACCATTAATATTTTATTAATAAACAATTTTTATAATAAAAATTTTACAATATATATCCTCATTACTGCCAACTTTATTTTCCTGTTTATTTAACAAGTTTAAATATGATCACTATTGCGTCTTAAAGCTTAAAAAATAATAAAAACATAATATAAATATAACTATGATTTAGACCATGTGTGATACACACGTTTTTTTAAATATAAATTTATTAATCTTGTATATATTCATTATTTTTAATAAACGTAGGTTTAAGAAAAATTGAAAGTGTATACTCATTTCAATTTTGTTTTATTTAATTATGAGTATTCTAATAATGTGTATGTGTATTACGTTTCAAAAATTATTATTAAAATATAAATATATAAAAATTATAAAAAAGTATAATATATAGATAAATATTTGTTTTTAATATTTTAACAATATAAAAATAGCATATATAATATAAGAAATAATAATTTATTAGGACAACATGTTTCACTTTTTTTTTTAAATGAATCATCATATATAGATCAATTAGCACAATTATTGTTTTGGCAAAACTCACGAGGATGACATCTACATTATAAGAAAATTGAACATTGGTTTAAGGGAGAGAATAATATCAAAATTATATGAAAATTGAAACTCATATGTAAAGTTATTAAAAATAATATAGTAATGTTCATTAAAATTTGAATGAAAGAAATTATACGAATATTGGAAAGAAAAAAAAAAGAGATAAAAAAAAATGCATTCTCAATGAGTATTATTATAGTAATGCTCATCCTATGTTCATTACAGAGCAACCTAGCAAGATCAATATAGCCTTGCATTAAGTTTAAGTGGTGCAATACGAGTGATCCTTGCCCGGCTTTGAAAGCAGAAAGAAGGTCGGACAAGATACTTTTATGTGGTTTGGTAAATTAAAAAATAAATGATATGATGAATAGGGGAGAGAAGGTTTCAGTCCCTCTCAATAATCCCCTTTTCTATTGCTGAATTACTTCAACTAAGACTGGATGAAAGCATTTTAATTTACAACTCTTATTCTCCTATTTATAAAAAAAATGATTTTTAATTAACCTCAACCACTAGTGAAATCTATTTAGCTAACTTCACCTAATGGGTTAGTTGATGTTGTTTGTTGTATTCTCCTATTTCTGAAGTGGTTTGTATTCACCAAAGCTTTTATGATACTTTAACTTCTTAACTAAATCAACTTACATAGCTGGTTGCTAGTTCAGCATCTAACTATCTCTAGCAGTTTACAAGAATTGCTTTGCCCAGTTGCAGCTGCTCTCTCTTAGTGTGTCTTGTTATCAGAGCATCCACGTCCTCTAAAAATGTCTTTGAAACCATTTCTTGTCATTATTTTTTCATTAAAATGTTCTTATGTCCCTAATTTACCTCTCTCTTAGACATAGAATACAAATCACTTGATAACACAAACATGGTTATGTTTGTTTTACACATGCTGTATCACGACATGCGGGGCGAAGTAAAATGGAAAATCATGATTTGTTGTGGCAAAAATTTCACTAGTTTCCCGTTAACAGAACTCACAATTATAGTTGGCCTTGGCCGAAACAAATAGACTCTAATTCCAACTTTCATACCGAAAGAGGCGCTTTTGGTATGCATTAAATTTAACACAAAAGTTATAAATAATGATATTAAAATAAATGTGAATTTATAACTATTTAAATATGAATGCAAATATGCACCAAGTGGATGTTTTGAAAATATATAAAACACAAGTTATAAACGTAAATTTAATGCAAAAATGATAATCAGTAATATACAAGTAAATGAAATTTCTTGATAAAAATAAATTTGAACCCACACTACAATGAAATTATAGTTATTTTTAGAAAATAAAATAAAATTTACTGTAAAATGTAATTGAGTAAAAGCAGGTTTTAATAAAGCATCTGTGTGAAAGTGCAATTATTTGTATCACAAACGAAAATTTTGCTTTTTCGTCAAAGAAATGAAAATTATACCGTAAAAATTGAAAATATTTTCAGCTGCACAGGCGCAGTTAAGATAAGAAACAGAGAAATCCGGGGTCCAAAACCACTAGCAGCATGAGCATCTCCGTTGCACACTGCATGCACAAACCTTATCATCTCTCTTGTGCTTCCACTGACAAAGTAAGCACGCTTCAGCGTCATCATTCACACCAACCCATGCCTATTGTTTATATGCCGCAGACTCCAACGCTTTCGAAGGATCACCGTGGAAACAGATTAACCAAGCCCCGTATCCAACCCCTCATTGATCTCTTAAAGTTCTGCGAGGAAAGTGGATCTATTAAACAGGCAAATTGCATTCATGGGCACGTTCTAAAATCGGGTTTTGGCGACCGCGACTTGTTGGTGTTTTTGAATCATGCAGCTCACGTGTACTCTAAATGTAATGACTACGATGCTGCTCGTAGGGTGTTTGATGGAATGTCCCACAGAAACGTGTTTTCTTGGACTGTCATGATTGTTGGGTCCAATGAACATGGTTACTACCATGATGGGGTGGAGCTGTTTTGCACCATGTTGGACCATGGCATGTCCCCGGATGGATTTGCCTTCTCCGCTGTTTTGCAGTCCTGTGTGGGGTTGGATTCGATTGAGTTGGGTGAAACGGTGCATGCCCAGGTTGTTGTAAGAGGTTTTCTGATGCATACAGTGGTTGGTACATCTCTTCTTAACATGTATGCAAAGTTGGGATATAGTGAAAGTTCGATTACGGTGTTCAACACCATGACTGAGCTTAATATTGTCTCTTGGAATGCAATGATTTCAGGGTTTACATCTAACGGTTTACACCAGCAAGCATTCGATTGTTTTATCAACATGATTGAAGGAGGGGTCACACCTAATAACTTCACCTTAATAAGTGTTTCCAAGGCAAGTGGGCAGTTAGGTGACATTAAAAAGTGTCATGAAGTTCATAGGTATGCTTCTAAATGGGAATTGGATTGCAATACCTTAGTTGGAACGGCTCTTATTGATATGTACTCCAAGTGTGGGTCCATGTCTAATGCACGTGTTCTTTTCGAATCAAAGTTTGCAAGTTGTCTGATTAACCCGCCTTGGAATGCAATGATAACAGGTTATTCACAAGCTGGTTCTCACCTACAGGCTCTGGAATTGTTCACAAGAATGTGCCAAAATGATATCAAGCCAGATGTGTACACGTTCTGTTGTGTGTTCAACTCAATTGCCGCTTTGAAATGTCTGAAATCATTGAGGGAGACTCATGGGATGGCTTTGAAATGTGGATTTGATGCAATGCAGACTAGTGCATCCAATGCACTTGCCGATGCATATGCCAAATGCGAGTCGCTGGAAGCTGGAGAGAAAGTATTTAATAGGATAGAAGAGAAAGATATAGTATCTTGGACAACCATGGTGACGGCATATTGTCAATATTTCCAGTGGGGAAAAGCCTTGGCCATATTCTCACAGATGCGCAATGAAGGCTTTGTACCCAACCATTTTACCCTTTGTAGTGTGATCACCGCATGTGGTGGTCTTTGTCTACTAGAATATGGCCAGCAAAATCACGGTCTGATATGCAAGGCCAGCTTGGATACTGAAACATGCATAGAAAGTGCTCTAATTGACATGTACGCCAAATGTGGCAATCTAACAGGGGCAAAAAGGATTTTTGAAAGGATATCTAACCCAGACACTGTTTCATGGACTGCCATAATATCCACCTATGCTCAACACGGTCTTGTTGAAGATGCCCTTCAACTCTTCAAAAAGATGCAACACTCAGATGCAAAGGTCAACGACATTACATTACTATGCATCCTTTTTGCCTGCAGCCACGGAGGAATGGTGGAGGAAGGCCTGAAAATTTTCCATGAAATGGAAGAGACCTACAACGTGGTACCCAAAATGGAACATTATGCCTGTGTTGTTGATATCTTGGGTCGTGTTGGCCAGTTGGATGAAGCAGTGGAATTCATAAACAGGATGCCAATAGAGCCAAATGAAATGATTTGGCAAACCTTGTTAGGAGCATGTAGGATTCACGGAAATGCCAAGTTGGGTGAGACTGCCGCTCAAAATATTATATCATCAAGACCAGAACAACCTTCTACCTACGTTCTTCTGTCCAACACTTACATAGAATCAGGACAATATGAAGATGGGGTTACTTTGAGAGACATGATGAAAGAACGAGGAATTAAGAAGGAACCAGGATATAGTTGGATTTCCGTAAGAGGTGAGGTTCACAAGTTTTACGCTGGAGATCAACAACATCCACAGAAAGACAAAATCTACACCATGTTAGAAGCGTTGTCGTCAAATGTCATTAAGAGCTAGAATTCAGCTCCACGTTCAAACATACGACTCGAATTTAGCCCCATTGGTGTGATTGTTACAAAATCAATTTTTGCATAACCAAATCACAAGTTTTAATACAATTTCTCTTTCAATTTTTCCAAAATTAATTTTATCTAACCCTAAACCGAATTAACATTTGTCGATTAGAGTAGAACCATTAAAATTTTCCTATATGAACGAACATGTTCTTATTCTTTTGTTACGATCAAACATTAGGAAATTCCTCCCTAGTAAAAATCGCATCTAACTGGAAACAATCGCATTCATTTTCCTGATATATATTGCAAAACATAAAATAAAACGATGAGTCTAAAAGCAAATGGTAATGGTAATCAGAGAAGACAGCATGAAGAAACCCTGAAACAAAATTTCAGGATCCAGATCAGAATCTGAGCTTGGTGAAGAACCACCTATTCTTGCCGGTCTTAAACCTCTCTTCGAGACGCTTCTTGGTTTCCTTGAGAGCAGTGACCTTCTTGTCCTTGGAAGCAAGAGCATCGGGGGTAACTGCGTCCTTGAGATCCACGTCGAGGGTGTAGCGCGTGGGCATGAGGTGCTGATAGTTAACGAGTTTCATGAAAGCCTTAACCCTAGACTTCTTAGCGGTTTTCTTGGCAGAGTCTTTCTTGATGACCTTGCTAGGGTACTTCTTGATACCCGCCACGAGGCAATGCCCGTAGGGGCGTTCACGCGTCCCATCGTCGAAGGTCCTCACGATCACCGCTTTGCGCCCGGCGTAGCGTCCCTGCAGCACGATCACCGCCTTGTTCGTCTTCAAGAATTTCACCATCTTCTTATTCTTCCTCTGATCTAGGGTTCTGCTTCTTTCCCATGTACGCCGATTAAACCCTAATTTTATCTTTTATATTAAACACCGAATGCTAAGTCCGTCTAGGCCCATTATCTTGTCTTGGCCCGTTAATAATTTCCCGTTCACAGAAAATGGGCCACGGCATATTTACAAACAATAATTCATTAAACTTTTTTGTTATTAAAATACATTATAGCTTATCATCTATATTATAGCTTATCATCTATTAAAATACATTTTGTTATTTTATTTATTCAACTTTTTTCAATATTTTAGAAATATGTATATTTAAAGATACGTGTTAAAAAAATTAAAATAAAAATGAATACATACATACATATATATATATATATATATATATATATATTCTACTAACTTAAAGTATTTATTAAAATATATTTAATGTCTTAACGAGATAACACATTAGAAGATTATTTTAAAATAATAAAAAAAAAGTCAATCAACAGAGTTTCACGAGGATATGAATCAAATTTAAAATATAATGATTAGTAGTGGAAGTGAATCACTAAGACCATGTGCTGCTTATCATTTGACCTAGACAACTTTGGATCTACACGATCATTCGCTCCATGAAATGAATGTCAATAGTAACATGTCTAAAAATTATATAAATCTCGTTGTTTTTCATTTATAATTTAATGTTGCTCACTGAATTTTCGTAATATTTAATTATTAACTAAAAATACATTAAAAAATTACTAATTATATATTAAAAATGTATTATTATAAAAAAATTAATATTATTATAATAAAAGAATGTATTGTACAGTCTGAACAACTTTTTAACAATACTAAATTATAACAAATTAAAATAAAAGTGTATTTTATAATTATAAACAGACAACATACTATTTTTTCTTTCCATAATTTTAGTAAGATATAAAATATTTTTATATTATATTTTTAAAATAATTTTCAAGAAATATATGTATAGAAAAAAAAGCCTCGTCGAAATAATAGAACTCTATCCCTTAGACAACAATTCTATATTTGAAAAACATCTTAAACACTTCTTAATAACAACAATAATGATACTAACTTTTCAAAAGTGAAAAATCCACATTCTTTCCAAATGAGTTGTTAGCCTTGTTCTGGTTTCGGTTAACTAACTACTTATGCCTTCAACTACCTTGTAGAAAGTTGAGAATAATTTTTTTCAAAGCAATCCAACATTTTATGTATAGATGTGACATTAAACCTAATTGTATCTTACAAACACCCTACACTCTTTTTAGAATAAAATAGACAAAACATAAGAGAATAATTAGGAGAAAATAGAAAAAAAAAACAAATTTTATTATATTTCTAGGAGAAAAATTAAGAATAAAAAAGAGTATTTTATTTATTTAGTTAGACAAAACAAATTATTTTATCTTATTTTTCGTTCTGCTAAAGGGTGCAAAAGCATAACAAAAAAATTATATTAATGTATAATATCACAACAAGGAAAGCAATTTTCAATACCTATTCCTAAACCTTGAAGTGAATTTACTCTGTCACCCCTGTACAATTTGAGAATTTGTCTAGTACAATTGTACAATTTGACGCAGAGAACCGAAAACGCACTACAAATTTGCCGTGCTGAATAGGCAATGGTTCCACATTTTCATGCCCAACCCTAGTTTTGTCTCAGAAAAAAAGTTAAATTAACTAAAATCAAAATAAAAGGAGAAAAATTTTCTTTAAAAAATAAAAACTTCTCTTATTTTTGTGATCAAGCAAAAAGATAAATCATTATTTATACTTTTATTCTCTATTTTTTTTATCTAAATAAACCTAAATAACTATAATAATTTTGTTCAGATGAAAGAAAATATACTAATAACGAAAAAAATCATTTAACTAAAAAGAAAATAAAAAAGTGACTGTTAAAAATAAATTTTAATTTTTCGTTCAATTTAAATTTTTTATTTTTTATTTTGTATTGACTTTATTTTCTCTTTAATAATGAGGGTAACCTTTTAACCTTGGTGGTTTTTTAGAATCATCGTTTATTTAACTATTATGTTTGCCCAATATTTGTTATACATAACTAATAACTTTCTTGTGCATCAATAAATATCAATAAATTTATTTTTTAATAAATAATTAAAAATATATTATATGATACTTCTAAATTTTAAAATAATTAAAAAATCAACGTAAAAAAATAAAATCAAAATATAATATAATATTAAAAAAAACAAATATACTAATTTGTCCATCGTTTACACACTCTAACTACTGTTAGCTGGGGAGTCATCTAACTAGTATTACTTTTTTTTAATTTTTTTTTATATTTTATTTGTTACGTTACTTTAAAATTTATTATTTAAATTATTTCTTTGTTTATGTTTATTTGATATTTTATTTATCAGGGGTACTTTGCCTGTTTGATTAAAAAATATGTGTTTTTTATTCTGTATCGGGCGAAATAAATAAATATTTTTTTCTTTTCCTTTACATTTACTTTAATGCTGAGTAACTTAGAAGTAATAATAATCTCCCATCTCATATATTTTTATTTGAATTCTATTTTTCTCAATTTATTTTATGTTCTTTCTCATAGCAAATAGTATATAGTATATTAAATGTCTAACAAATACCGTAAACAACTAGAAAAAAAGTCAAAAGCAAACCTGTTTGACCGTACGATACATTAAATAGTTCGTCCGGTCTCAATCGTTGAAGTTGTGGCATTTTCGGTGGCTAGAAATTTCAAAATTAAAATCTTTTATCGACTAATCCCATTAATATACTTTTCAATATATATTTTATTATTAATTAAAATTTATTAAAAATTATATCAGTTTCACTCTTTATTATTCTTAATTTTACGTTTTTATCTAATTTTTTTAATATTCAATAAATTCAAGTTGATAACAAATAATGTGCTGTTAATATTTTTTGTGTCATATTTTTGCATTTGTTCACCTAAATATAGATGGTTGGCAAAGTTTATACTCATAGTATCAAATATAATTTTATAATTCACCTAAATATAGATGGTTGGTAAGGTTTATAGCATCAAATATAATTTTATAAATTGAGATATTTTTTTAGGCAATACAATTAATATTCTTAATCTTTGATATCTATTATAGTATAGTTAAAAATAAAAAACAATTTTTTTTATGTTAAGTTATATTTCAATTATTAGTATCAAAATAAGTTGTAAATCATTTAATTTATAGTTTTATATGAACTCATATTTCTTTAACTGCTAGATACTGACACAAAGTAGATAATGTTTTCAATATAAATTAGTGAAAGTGTCAAGTTACCTATAATACCTTAAATAAATTATGGAAAGAGAATTATAACTAATAAGTTAAATTATAAATTTAATTTTTTTATTACAAAGAATGTGCCAAATTCACTTTCAATTAATATACTGATGAAAGTTCTCTTATCAACAAATTAGTTAAAAAGATGTTTAGTTTTACATGTGTATCATTATTTATGTAACTTGTATATATAAATGTACCAAAAAACAAGAAGAAAATATAATCATATATATATATATATATATTGATTTAAAAAACTAAGAAATATTAAATATAAAATATTGGATAACTATAATAACTAAAAACTAGTTAATGTTACGGCTAGCTTATCACGCTAAAAAAATATTGAAATAAATGTTAAAACGAGATCACAAAAAAAAATTATTTTAAAATAATTTGTCATTACAAATATTTTTACAAAAATAAAAAAACACTTAAAATAAAATAATTATAATTTAGAAAAATAACGATAACTTACAAAATTATGAAGTTTTAAAGCAATATATATAGTAACTACAATAACTAAGATTTGATTAATATTTGAATACTTTATTTATTATGATAAAAAAATTAAATTATAAAAATAGCGTAAAGAGGAATTTGACATATATGGGCTCAATGTTTTCTAATTTTATGTACTACATTTTCAAATTTTTTTAATAATATCATTTAAAATTATTTGAAATTAAAAGTTGAACCATTAATAATAAATATACTACAGACGCTAACTTGTATTATTAAAAAAAAATTCAGAAACCCTTTAAAATATAAAATGTTGAAAAACATCCTTAAAATTAATTTATCATAATTTAACAAATAAATTTAAAAAATATTTATTATTTATCTTATTATAAAATTATTTCTCATGAAATAATTATACATCTACTATTTTATTTATTTATTATTCTCTCTCTTCTTTCTTTTATTTGTACACATGTATCACTGTTCTTCGTTTTTTTTTAAAATTTATCATAAAAAATATATTATAATTGAGAAAGGTGATAAATAACAGTAATAAAAATCATCCTCAACCCTTTATATCTGTTAACAAAATATGACTATGGAATTTTATAAGAATTTTTTCATGCTATTTAAAGCAAGAATGTAAATTAATTTTTAAATATTTAATAAGTAATTTTATTGTTAAAAATTCGTGAATAAAAATCCTATTTAACCTTGCTTTTGTAAGATGCAATTTTAACCCACTACATTTTGTTTGAAAACTTTATTTACCCATCTTGATAACATGTTTATCAATTAAATTATATTAAAAATATTTATGCATTTACCTCGAAAAGGCAATAACAGAACAGTTACAGGGAACTTGGGTCAATCAATCATTTCCCTTACAATATTAAAAAATAACATTGAAGAAAAGGTGAAATAATACGAAGGAATGGCTTGCGAATGGGTGTGCATGAAAAAGTAGTTTTTGTGGATAGCACATTAAGTTGATAATAATGTTGTGGGTGGAAGATAAGGCATTTCCCCGTTCCCTTTTAGTTTGTTTTCTTTTTGACCTAATAGTTGTTTTGTTTACGTTAGTGGAACATATATGTTCATGCAACGATTGTTCTGACAATGTCTAGTGGAGAAAAATGTCATCGTTCCAACAACATTTGTCACATACAAAAAAAGGCTTTTGAAAGGTTATTAATCCATTCACACACCAATCACGTAATCGTCCACTCACAAAATAGACCACCACCACTCCCATTAAAAGGATTAAACAAGTTCAAAGGTAATCATAAGAGCTCTTCCAACAAGTAAGGTCTCTTATTATGGGAAGTGAAAACAAGATATCATCTTATTATACAAAAGAAATAAAACAATACGAAGTGATGTTTGCATTTATTGAACTGATTTTGCTTTAAAGGTATTCCAATGTCTCTCTTATCAGAAATATTCCCTTTACACATAATGAAATAGTGATACCCATTTGATGGCATAACAATAACATAACCCATTCCCCATCAAACGTCGTTGCCAAAACTTTCCCATTTAAAATTCCAAACACAACTTTGACGTTGTTTGACCAGCTCACCAGCCTCAACACTGTGCATTGGCAACCGCGATACGCCACGTTTGACGAAAACAGAAGCAATACGCGCGTTGGCGAACCAAACAAAACCAAACACGGTCTTACGTGGAAGCGCAGTACAAAAGCCCCCAATAACAGAAGAGAAGAAGTACAAGGGTAAAATGGGAAAAGAGAAAAACTCCCTCCAACTCCAAATTTCCAATTTCCCATTACCTGCCCCACCACCACCTTCCACTTAGTTAAAAAATTGCTTTCTATACCAAAAACGAAAAAACCTTGAAACAATTCGCTGTCTCACCATTTCCCTATGAAATTATTTTCCGATTCTCTCTCCAAATTCGCTTCTTTGATTTTTCTCCTTTATATATATTTCATTTCCTTCATATTTTCCGTAACGCATTCTCTCTCTGTTTATGGCGCCGAGCATTGGAGACCTCCAACTAACTTCTCCCGGCGCCGGCGAAGATTCCGACGACCTCGAAGATGTTCGCCTTCTTGATTCCTATGATAAAAACGACGTCGTCGTCGACGGCGACACAAAACGGATTCAGGTCAGAATCACCGGCATGACCTGCGCCGCTTGCTCTAACTCCGTCGAGGCGGCTCTCAAGTCCGTTAACGGCGTCGTTGACGCCTCCGTCGCGTTGCTCCAGCACAAAGCCGAGGTCGTTTTCAAGCCGAGCCTCGTGAAGGTTAGTCTCCGTTTTCGTGTTGCACGCTTTGATTTGCGAAAGTGTTAGCTACTGATTTCGGAATGTGTTAACCTTAGGACGAAGACATTAAGAATGCGATTGAAGATGCAGGTTTCGAAGCGGAGATCTTACCGGAGCCTGTTTCGATGGGAGCCAAGGCGAACGGTGGCCCAGTCGTGGTGGGGCAGTTCACGATCGGGGGCATGACGTGTGCGGCGTGTGTGAATTCTGTTGAAGGGATTCTGAGGAGTCTCACGGGAGTAAAAAGAGCAGTGGTGGCTTTGGCTACTTCGTTAGGTGAAGTTGAGTATGATCCAAACGTGATTAGCAAAGATGATATTGTTACTGCAATCGAAGATGCTGGTTTTGAAGCTTCGTTTGTGCAGAGTAGTGGGCAGGATAAGATTGTTTTGGGGGTTGTTGGTGTGTACTCTTTGGCTGATGCTCGGGTTTTGGAAGGCATGCTTAGTGGTATTAAAGGGGTGAGACAGTTTCGGTTTGACTCGTCGTTGAGCGAACTGGATGTGGGGTTTGATCCTGAAGTTATCAGTTCTAGGTCTTTAGTTGATGTGATCCACTTGGGAAGCAATGGCAAGTTTAAATTGCATGTTAGAAATCCTTATACTAGAATGGCTTCTAAAGATGGTTCAGAAACCTCAGCTATGTTTCGGCATTTTACTTCCAGCTTGTTTCTCAGTGTGAGTATTACTATGACATTGGTCCTTGTTAGATAAGGATGTTTGTGTATTCTTTGTTTGGTTTTGTTGTACTTTATTTTTATTTATTTATCTGTTATCCTTTCCATCTGTTGGTGACCTTAATGGATGTTTGAAATCGTATGTCGTAATCCTTGTGATGTTTATGATTTAAGAGCTTGCGTTAACATCCCTTATTTTGTTTAGGCTCTTGTGATCTTTATTCATTAGCATTGGTTTTTGCTTGATGCGCAGATTCCTTTATTCTTCATGGGGGTAATTTGTCCCCACATACCATTGGTGTACTCCTTGTTGCTTTGGAGATGTGGGCCTTTTCTCATGGGTGATTGGCTGAAGTGGGCATTGGTCAGTGTCATCCAATTTGTAATTGGGAAACGTTTCTACATGGCCGCTGGCAGAGCTCTTAGAAATGGTTCAACAAACATGGATGTCCTGGTTGCTTTGGGAACTACGGCCTCATATGTTTATTCTGTTTGTGCTCTTCTGTATGGTGCCCTTACAGGATTTTGGTCTCCAACGTACTTTGAAACAAGTGCTATGCTCATAACATTTGTGTTGTTGGGCAAGTATTTGGAGTGCCTTGCCAAGGGAAAGACATCCGATGCCATTAAGAAGTTAGTGGAACTTACCCCTGCAACAGCTTTACTGGTCATCAAAGATAAAGGTACATTCCACTTTAATTTGATGTGGTTTGTTTTCTTTAGAGAAAATGAAGGTGAAACAGCTTCTGTGTTGATGTTCATTTATCATTTTGATTGCATCACAACATTAGATTAGAACTTGCACAATAATTGTTTTGTTTTCTAGGGGGTAAAACTATTGAAGAAAGGGAAATAGAGTCATTGCTTGTTCAACCTGGTGACACATTGAAAGTTCTTCCTGGTGCAAAGATTCCTGCTGATGGTATTGTTACTTGGGGCTCAAGTTATGTAAATGAGAGTATGGTGACTGGTGAATCTATACCTGTTTCGAAGGAGGTCAATGCATCTGTTATTGGAGGTACAATCAATTTGCATGGTGTCCTTCACATTCAAGCTACCAAAGTAGGATCTGATACAGTTTTGAGTCAGATAATTAGTTTGGTGGAGACAGCCCAAATGTCTAAAGCTCCCATTCAAAAGTTTGCTGATTATGTAAGTATGCTGTTGTGCTCTTGGATGACTTCTGTGTTCTGTAGGTGGTAATTTGATAGTGTAAGCATTTCAAAGTGCAATACAGTCTGTCTTCTGTTCTGTGGTAAAAAAATTATTAGTTATTCAATCAGTTCTGAGATTAAATGAAATGCTTCTTGTCTCTTGATGACCTGGCAAATGACAACCACATAAATTCATGTTCTCTTTTAAAATGATAGTGAACTGATTGTAATTCCAAAAGATACGCTGAGTATCAAGGTTGTAGATTTGGGGCAATATTTTGATGCCTCATCTCTGATAATTGAAGTTCCCGGTTTGAAATTACTCATAAAATTGGATTGTTAATGAATCTAATTATTTCAGGTTTATATGCTTTATTGATAATTCCAGCGGCTGTTTTCGTACATGCTTGTGGGTTTTTATAGTAGTCACTATCTCATTGATCATATATTCTGTTAGTTGAATGGCCTACAGATGACTGAAGAAATATTAGACATGAACTTAACTACCATTTTTTTGGCCTGCAGGTAGCAAGCATATTTGTCCCTACTGTTGTGATTTTGTCATTATTGACGCTCTTTTGTTGGTAAGATTAGTGTGACTAGTTTTGCATATTGACATTGATTTCTAATGTGTAATGGGAATGCTTATATTGTCTTTTGTCCAAATATTTGGCTAATTGTAGGTATATTGCTGGGGCTCTTGGAGCTTACCCAGAAGAATGGCTGCCAGAAAATGGAAATCACTTTGTTTTTGCCCTTATGTTTTCAATATCTGTTGTGGTGATTGCATGTCCGTGTGCACTTGGTTTGGCAACACCAACTGCTGTCATGGTGGCAACAGGGGTTGGGGCTAACAATGGAGTGTTAATTAAAGGGGGAGATTCTTTGGAAAGGGCTCAGATGGTGAAGTACGTTATATTTGATAAAACAGGCACTCTAACACAGGGGAAAGCCACTGTTACTTCTGCCAAGGTGTTCACAGGAATGGACCGTGGAGAATTTCTTACATTGGTGGCTTCTGCTGAGGTGATGTCAAATTTCTTGACGATATTTACTTTTTTCTGTTCTTATCCTGTTTATGGTATTCCTACATGTGTATTCAAACCTAGATCCAAGTATGGGGGACTTACAATAAAAGTTTAGTATACAGTTACATTTTCTTCCCACTTCTTGACACAGACAGCTTGACTTCCCAATAGTTTTGGCATCCTGAATCGGATTAGGAACACACTAGAGAAGATTTATGATTTTGACTATTTGTTTGTTTGTCAGAAAATTTCACACTTCCATTTCCTGTATTGCCTATTGGAGGAGTTATTTGTAGTTGTTTCAATTTTTTTCTTTTCAAATTCAGGCTAGCAGTGAACACCCACTGGCGAAAGCAATATTGCAATATGCACACCATTTTCATTTCTTTGATGAGTCTTCTACCGGTGGTACCCAGAATGATGCCAAAGAGTTAAAGCCAGGGTGGCTTTATGATGTCTCAGGCTTCTCTGCTCTTCCAGGAAGGGGTGTCCAGTGCTTTATAGATGGGAAGCGTGTTTTGGTAAAGTCTTTTGGCTACTGTTATATGACTCTTTATGTTTAGAAATTGGAATGCGTTTCATATTTTCCAGGGAGTTGCTTATTTGAGGCATTATGTCCTGAACAGGTTGGCAACCGGAAGATGCTGTTGGAAAGTGGCATAAATATTTCTACCGAAGTGGAAAATTTTGTTGTGGAGCTTGAAGAAAGTGCAAAGACAGGGATACTAGTAGCATATGATGATGTATTAACAGGTGTCTTAGGGGTTGCAGATCCTCTAAAGAGGGAAGCTTCTGTCGTTATAGAGGGCCTCCAGAAAATGGGAGTAATACCTGTTATGGTTACAGGAGACAACTGGAGAACAGCTCGAGCTGTTGCTAAGGAGGTAAGTGTGTATTTCTATAATATTTATGTTGATCGGAAAGCTTGGTGCTGTGATAGCTTTGAGTGTGGTTTCCAGGCTATGCTGCTTAGTTTATGCATTCAACATTTGGACTTGGACTTCCGAATAAAAGCAATTTCATTGCATGGAATATAGTCGTTTTGTAGTGTGTAGCAATAAAATTGAACTGTGGACAGGAATAATTGTAATCAATGGATGGAACGAAAGTATGATTCAACCTAAAATCTGGCAGCTTGTTTTCAAGCAGGCTGTTGGTTTTCTTATTCACTAATGCAATAGCAATACTTGAAAGAAATGACACCGTATTAAATTTGTTACCATAAATATCTGCTTCTTCAGCCCTCCTATAAATCATAACCAGAGTATCCGTCACTTCTTTATGACCCAGTTGTAACGATTTATTGAGTAGACATTGTTATTGTCAAAAGTTGGTTAAATCCTTGTTCTGTGACAGGTTGGCATTCAAGATGTAAGGGCAGAGGTTATGCCTGCAGGAAAGGCTGATGTTGTTCGTTCATTCCAAAAAGATGGAAGTATAGTAGCAATGGTGGGTGATGGTATCAATGATTCTCCTGCATTAGCTGCTGCTGATGTTGGTATGGCAATTGGGGCTGGAACAGATGTTGCAATAGAAGCTGCTAACTATGTGCTCATGAGAGATAACTTGGAAGATGTGATCACTGCCATTGATCTTTCCAGAAAAACCTTTTCTCGTATTCGATTGAATTACGTTTTTGCGATGGCCTACAATGTCATTGCTATACCAGTTGCTGCTGGGGTTTTATTTCCTTCGTTGGGGATCAAGCTGCCACCATGGCTTGCTGGTGCTTGCATGGCACTCTCGTCTGTTAGTGTTGTATGTTCTTCTTTACTTCTAAGAAGATATAGAAAACCCAAACTTACTACAATACTTGAAATAGTTGTAAATTAATGATAAATGAAACACAATAATTTCTGAGGATGCAATTGAATTTCACCCTTGTGATTCCAATTTTGTGTATTTCCTTCATATCCTCCGCACTCATCGGGGTGCAATTGTAATTGTAGCTGCCAATTCATTGTAAATGCACTGGTAATTGCATAGCTCTCCCACTCTCCCCACAAACAAATTCACCATTTCTGTTTATGCATCAGGTTTAATAACTTCCATGGAGCCATATGTGGGGGCACATATGAGGGTTTTCTGTTTGCAGAAGTAGGGCAGGTCGATTAGCTTTTTCCGTTTCATGTGGGACCTAGGTTTGCTTATTTTAAACCCTTAATTTCGTCTCAATTCTCAACCTTAATAATAGTAGTTTATTGAGTGCAGGACCTACTTTGTGAATTGTGAGTGGAAAACTGCTTGTTGCTCACATTTCAGTGCATTATGTTCATTCCAGTATAGATGGCACAGGTAGAATCAGAGTGTTGGTGTGTAATACTAGCTAATGAATAAAACCATGAAGATGAGAGATGTCGTCACGAGTATGTAGATTAATGTATTAAACATTAGTTTCAATGTCCCGTCTGGTTGTTCGTCAAATCGTGAGTGTCTGGTGTGAAGTGATCAATTTTCTACGGAAAAGGTCAAATGTCTGTTTGACAAGAAATAGAGGTAGTGACTCCGCTTATATAAATCGCATTCAACAACAGTGTCAGTGATTCTGGACAGACATGACCCCATTCAAGGTTTGAAATGAAAACATCAATTTCTTAGTTCAGCACTTGACCTTAGGATATTATTGACTTGACATTCCCGAATTGCCAAATAAATGTGGACTGCAATTTCTGTTTCAGCAGCTAAAACCACAAGGATTTCTAACACACAAAGTGACTTTTTCCTTCATTGATCTAGAGTGGATTTTTATTAAGGAAAAAGGAAAGCAATAACAAATAAAAAGTAATGCCTTTCAACAATGATGCATAATTGCATTATTTACCGAAAGATGGTTTAATTGTGATTGTCATCATCGCCACTTTTACCTTTAAGATATTCAATTAGTTGTCTCACCACCTTGGCAAGAGTTATCATATACAAACATCTTGCTTTTTCCTTGTTCTCCATGATAGTGTCAATGGTTACGTATGAAGTCCAGAAAAACAGTTTCCTCCGTGGTAGATGTTCTTTCACATCATTGAAATGACGTAGATCTTTCATTTGATTATCTTTAACTGACGGATTTTAATATTCTTCCTTTTTTTTGTAAAAAGTAAGAGATTTTTTTTTTGTAAAACTAATTAAATAATATGGACCGTTGATTTTAATCAAATGGTTAAAAATGAATTACAGGATACCGGATATTCAAGTTAGATTTATGAAAGGATACATTGGTAATTTCATGTTTTTATTCTTTTTTTGTGTTTTCTTCCTCTTCTTCTTGGTTCTCTTCATCTTTAACAGTCAAAAGGTCAATTTATATAACTTTATGGTATAACTTGTAGAATAAAGTAAGGTTAAAGAGAACAACAATATCGAGTTGTGGATATTCAACTTATATTATTTTGATATATAGAGGTCATATATATATATATATATATATATATATATATAAAGTTTATTGAAAATAAGATGTTGAGAGTTTATAACAACAATTGCATAATAGAATAACAGGTGTGTGGAGCGTTTACAATGTTAAAAATATGAAATTTCAAATATTAACTATGTATAAATTTAAATTTAAGATAAAAATAACATCAGGTTATAGAGATTTAATGTAAAAAGTAAGGATATTTTGATGGGTTAATCACTATAAGCACCAAGTAGATTTAAAATTTATTGTAGAAATTAATGTTTTGAAAGAAAAACATTTCAACATCGATGAGTTGCAATGGGTTTATTAATATTAATGTAGTGTATATTAAAAATACATATCTGGATTGCATATTTATAACGATGATGTATTGTGCAGTAGTACAAAATGTAATGAGTTGTGTTCTTAGCCTTCCTCAATAAGGAGATGACTGTATTACTACAATGAATTAGTTATGCAGATCACAGACATGAAAAAAACAATAAATATTTTATAGTTTTTGCGACGGTTTGATAGTTAAAAGATGTTAAATTGTAGACAGAGTTTAACAAATGTGTAGCAGACATTTGCATCAGTTGTTTGCTTAACTGATGCAAAAAAATAAGGACCTTTAATAATTAAGTCATAAACATATGTACATTAGTTGTGTGGGTGAACTGATGTCATAAAATACGCACCTTTTATAATTTACTATTGCACTATATTTGCATAAGTTGTGTGGGTGAACCAATGTCATAAAATGCGCACCTTTTACAATTTACTATTGCACTGTATTTGCATCAGTTGTGTGGGTGAACCGATGCGCACCTTTTACATTTTACTATTGCACTGTATTTGCATCAGTTGTGTGCATAACTGATGTTATAAAACATGCACCGTTTACAACTTAACTCACAAACATATCTACAACAAATGTATAGTAATATGATGTTAATGTCCTTTTAATATTGTGGTCATTGTGAAACTTTTCTATCTTTAGCAAGGTGAAAATTCTCGTATTCTCTATGTACATGTTCCTACGGTACATGTGAGTATTCTTGTTTATATTGCTATAGCTATAAATATTTTCTTATTCTCATCAATAAAACATCCATTTTTCATCTCTCTTCCGAAATCGGTATAGAAATAAGTATTTTACTTATGTTGTTTACCTTAGTTACTGGGGGTTTTGGGGAAGACCTATGTGGGGCATCTTTTGGGTGTGAGATGCTCATTTAACCTCTGTTCTCATCTCTTTTTTGATTTACCTGGGTGCACTGCATTTTCAAAAGTTCCATGGACTCACTAGGTGAGTAAAGTAATAGATTTGGGCAATGTAGGTACAACAATTTACAAAAAAAAATTTAAAAATAAAAACAAAAAAAGACAGTGTTCATCAATGGTAGAATAGTTTCTGCACTTCTACCTTTCTTCTGCGAAAATGGAACCATTTATGGTGTACCAATGCAATAAAATGTGATATGAACTAAGGTGTCAAAAATAGTAATACATACAAATTCACGCTTTCATCATTTAACAATGCCTATAGGACAGATCCGATGTCGTGTATTACATTCTTTTAAAATTGTATATAAAGGTTTTTACATCGGTTATAGAATTAAATGTACAACTTATCCAAGTTTACATTGGGAATGAGGTTGAAGTCTTTTACACCGGTTAGACAATAAAACTGATGTAGAAGTATTACTATGTAAAAAGATAATTTTTTTACGTTAGTTCTGTGAGAGAACCGATGTAGAAATAGTTACGTAAACAAAAATAACTTTTTACATAAGTTCTCTCTAAGAACCAATGTAAAAAGCTGTGATTTTTTGTTAAAAAAAAAAAATACTTTCTGCGTCTTCTTCATTTTTTGCTTTTTTTCCCACATTTTATCTTTTTCTTGGTTTTGTGAGAGGTCTTTCCCTTTCTAGTGAGATTTTTTCAGTCATATCTCAACCTATTTTTTGTTATACAGATTGAAACTTAGTTTTGATTGATAAGACAGTGCATGCAATTCAGAGGAAATAGCGGAGGAAGCCACATAGGAGAACGAGGAAAGACCACATATTGAATTCCGACGAGGAAAGACCACATTTTCATCTCTATGCAATTCCATTTTCATAAACACATGTTTGTATATTTAAATTTTAAGGATGATAAATTAGACTTAATTACATATAATTTCAAAATTACGCAAAAAAATTTAAAAACACTCATGTGTTAGTCTATGCAGATTGGTTTATGCAGAAAATTTTAAATTTTACGCATATTTTACGTTATACAGATTGGTTTATACATAATCTAAAATATCAGTTTTACGTTATTACCCTTCTTTACTGTCTCGCTTATAACTCCTTTTCATATTTGTTAACTTTTTTAACCTTTAATCTTAGCTATATATTTTTAAATCACTTTTATCAATAACTTAAATTCAAATATGAATCACTTATGCAAAAGCAATACTTTTAAACCAACATACTTATTACAAAAAAAAGGGAGTATATTAGAATCCTCCAGTTTTTAACTGGATAATGTCTGAACTAGGTAAATAAGTTAGTCTGGAATTTATTTGATTAAGCAAAACTGCTTTGTAAAAGTTTCATTTTACTATCTTGTAACATTTTTTTAAATGATGTTTTATGTAGAATTTGAGTTTATAAGCTCGACCTTTTTTTTAAGTTTTATTATTATTATTTTATTAGATTTTTTCCTTTACTCTTATTTTCAAAAATCTTAAAGCTCTCACTCTTTCTATTATTTTTTTTCATAAAAATTAAAGTTATAAAAAAATATTCTTTTAAAAATCAATGTTATTTAAAATTTTATTCAAAATTATAATTTTTTAATTTTAAATGAATATTTTTCAATTAAATTGTTATGCATTTTTATTATGAAACGAAAAAAAAATACATCACAAAACATAAATTAAATAACCCTCACAACATCCAATGCTTCCAAAAGCAATAGATCATTAATCTTTTAAAGAGGATTCAACAAATCTTCAAACATCATCTTTTATAATATAAAATTTTCAAAATTATACTATACACTTATTCATCTCATTATTTTAGATAGAATATTTTAAAAAATAAAATAAATTTTTTTATCATAATTTTTAAGATATTAAACTATTTTAAATAAACACACACAGATATATGTCTTTTTATGACTTTTAAATTATCTTTTTTTTTAATCATTACTTAAATAGTTCTTATATTGTTACATTTGTTTTTACAACAATCTATGCATAGAAGACCGACAAAAGCTTCAACACTGCATGTCTTGGGGCAAATAAAAGGGGAAGTCCGTATAAATTTATTATTTGAATTATTAAAAACTGATATTATACATAATATTATTGTATATAATTATTTTATCTCTCTTATATTTTTTTACATGCATTTCCGTTTTTATACGACCTTGTCTAGGCTTAATAAAATGTCTACTTTGTCATATGAAGTGTCACAGTATCATATCATATCATCCTCATAATAGTAGTAAGATTTATTAATGAACCAGTCACTGGTTTATACTTAAGTAAAAAAGCAATGAGTTTTGTTCGAAGCAAAACAAATATAATACAATAAACAAAAGTATTTGATTCTTATATATATATATATAATAATTAAAAATTTACAGAATATGTAAACTATTTAAAACAAAAAAAAATTAAAAATTAAAATTAAAGGATTATCCATAAGTGAAAGAATCTCCAAACATAAGTTGAAGAAGTTTCTTTTGTATCTTTTCAATGCTACTAGTCTTGAATATTTTTATATATTGGCTCAAAAAGTTTATGTATATGTACTTTGATGTGTTATAGAATATAAATGGCTAGTTATTTCAATTTTCAAGTGTCATGAACAAATAACTCACTAACTTTGGAGGTTTGTATATGAAATATAAATAAAATTGAGTTAGCAATTAGACTAAATTTAATCCAATTAGAATAATATACCAAATAAGAATCAAAATTTAACTTAAACCTATCTTTTAAAATACTATAGACCTTTAGAATGTTTTCCCAAACAACAAAATCTTTTGAACTTAGTTAAATAGATCATAGTGAATTGTCTTTATATATTTAGTCTTCATGATTTGAACTCGTAATTTGTGTTTATCTTACAAAATATCTCATATAATTTACTTATAAGAAAAATATTAACCATTCACATGTTATGAATATCTAAGTCACTCAATTTCTTAAAAGAATTAATAGATAATTTTATTTGAGTCAACCAAATGAATGCCACTTCTAATGAGAATAGAAGTTAAGACATTTTCTCAAACAAAATTTATCAGCTCTATTAACTAGTTTTATGTTTTTATTTATCACTCTTTTGTGAATTTTTTCAAGTAAAGAAGAAAAAGTTGTTTTATTTAATTTATATATAGTCACTAGACATTAAGACAGGTTCCCCATCTCTGTAACAAAATGAATGAAAGTAGGACAATAGAAAGTATTTCGCTTTTGGTAAAGACTCCTCTCAAACACATTACCTTATATTTGTCAAAATTGATCTAAAAGTTAGATGCATCATAAAATTTTTGCATCACTCTAATAATATTTTAAATCTGAAAAAGAAAAATATCTTCAACAAATAAAAGGTAGTAAAATTGGAGTCGTTCCTAAATAAATGAACATGTTTCTATAAATTTGGATCACAAAATTCTTCTTTTCTTTTTTACTGTATTTTATTTTGTAAAAATTTATTAAAATATTTAATAACATAAAAGAATTAATATATATAGTTGTATCCTCGAATTCCAGTATCAAACTTTCACACTTATAACACTTAATATAATTTTATAAATTAAAATGTGAAACTAGTCTATCCAATTGTTAGTTTGAAGATTTTTATCAAATATATTAAGTATACAAATTTTTATATAAAAATAAAATAAACATATATTTCGTCACATTATTTTATTTTATTTCAACATATAATACATATTTTTAAATGTGAGTATATATCTAAATTTTATTAAATTTGATATACGTGGCTAAAAAATAAATTTTTTATATAGAACGGGACAAAAACTCAAAAGCAAAATAGACTAGACACTAGGCTTAGACCATACATTTTATAAAAAATTATTAAATGTACAAATTTAATTGATAATATCAACGAATCATATTATATAAATATCGTTAAGTTTTATTTTAAAAAAATAATTTAATTGTTAAATTAATCAATCGATTTCACATTTTATAAAAAATTATTAAATGTCGAAATTTAATACATAATATCAACGAATCATATTATATAAATATCTTTAAGTTTTAGTTTAAAAAACTTAAGTGTTTGAAATTTTTAATTTTTATCATTCATACACAGTGGTTTCTTTTAGTCTGTTGAAGAGTTGATGAAATAATAAATAATAATGTATGTTTGAACGTTCTTCTGCTGCAAGCTTGCTTTACTAGGCAACCCTGAGTCTGTGTATTAAATATTTTTGGAGGTGAAAGAGTCCACCTAAACTTTTTAGCACGTAACAGATGATTTTCATAGATAAGTGACTACCCTGCACTCCCAACATTATTTTTGAAATTGCAGAAGGGTCAACAATCCAGAAGAAAGCAACAAACTTTAGTTTCAATTATTTTTCATATGAATTGCTCATTATACCAAGTCAGATTTCCCTTTCTCTAACCACGTACGTCTCTTTTTTATTAAAAGTTAAAGTTTGACCAAGTATGAGTAAGTAACAAATGTTTCATGAATGCAAACGTAACGTAAAATACTCAAATCATTAGATCTATGTAACTTCTCAATTGATAAATTGTTGATGTATTAATATATAATTTATTATTTCATTAATAGTCAGTAACAAATGTTTCATAGATGCAAACGTAATATAAAAGATTCAGATCGTTAGATGTATGTAACTTCTGAATTAATAAATTATTGATGTATTACTATATGATTTATTATTTTACTAATAGTCAATAACAAATGTTTTATTGATGCAAACGTAACATAAAAGACTTAAATCGTTAGATGTATGTAACTTCTGAATTGATAAATTGTTAATATATTAATATAAAATTTATTATTTCATTAATAGTTAGAGGTAAGTTAAACTAAAGACTCAATCGAATGTAATAATTTTTAGACATGTTAGAAAATCTACCATTTTTTAACTTTAAAAACCTTCTAGAGAGTTTTCTCTTTCTCTCTATTTCTCAATTATTTATAAACTTATATAGTGTTTAATAAAACTTTTTAAAAAACTATATGGTTAATTGGCATTCAAAATTAACTTAGCAAAAACAAATGAATAAATCCAATCTAGCTATTAATATAAACAATAATCGGAACAATCAGTTTGACCAAAAAATTAGTGAAGTCAACCAATTGAAACAATTTAGAAAATCGGACAATTAGAGAATCAGCCGAACCAGTCGATACGGATGATAAAAAAAACTTTTATCTAATTTCCAAATATTCTAGAGACAAATAATTAACGGATTTTTTTTATTATAAATAAACTTTTTACTTAGTTTAGTTTTTTTTATATTAATTGTATTAATTAATATGTTATTTAATGTTTAAAATATTTAATTATCATCCACATAATCACAATTGAAAGCATAGTTCATTAATCATTCTAATTTTCAAATATTGATCCAATCAAATTATAAACTGATTAGATCATCATTCCATGTGAAACCTCACAGTCTCACAAAACTGTGTTGTCTTTTTAATAATTTAGTATAAAATTGAAGAAACCTTAATCAAGCTAGTCCTCAAAATTGAAAATGTCAAGCAAAGTTAAAGAAAAAAAAATTATTTTATTTTAAAAAACTTAAATGTCACATTCATATGGTCTTAAAGGATTAATTAGAAAAATTGTTCATATAAAAATAAATGAACTTTTGAATATACATTATTTTATTTTAGTTATTCTTAACTACCACAGTGTTCCTCACCTCAAAGGTGATTTGATCAATTTTCTTATAATATTATTGTTATTAATTTGATCAAAAAATAATAAGAATAATATTTAGATAAAAATAAGTTAGATGAAAATTATATTTGACACATAAGATTAAGATTAACAAGTTCTCTCTTAAAAACAACCAGTGGTCAATAAATAAACAAGAAAAACAGTCAACATTGAAACGAATAAAAATAAAGAGTTTTGAGTGTAAAAACAGGTCAAATATTGCGTTCGTATACGGTCTCATTTCTTGTCTAATTTCAAATCCAGTAAAATCAGGGACAAAGTATTTAACACACTTGCATTTATTAAAATTTAAATTTGAAATCAAAGCTGAATAAAATTACTATAAATAATATATTTTTTTCCTTTAAATATTTAATACAATTGCATTCGAAACTAAATCTTAAATCCTAAACTCGAAGCTGAGACCAAAACCAAATAAAATCACTATAAACAGTAAAACTTTTGTTTTAAGTATTTAACAAAATTACAATTAAGTAAAACTCGAACTCAAAAACACAAATTAGCCTCTTATAATTGATTCACATGTTTGGGAGTATAAACATATGACTTTTTAACCACTTTATAAGAATTTAAAATTTTAATTAATGGTATTAAATTAATCAATAATTTGAACAATTTTAAAAAATTATGTTAAATACTTTTACTTAATTTCTCTTTACATAATAAATTATATTTAATTTCTTTCAAAATTGTGCCTTCGTGAGAAAGATTAAAAATAATAATTTATCACATTTGATTAAAGGAAAGGACTTTTTGTAAAAAATAAAGTACAATAAATAATTTAATAAAAGATTCTTATAAGAAGCACCAAAAATTATTTGATCAATAACTTAAAGAGCACCTCAAGATAACAAATTAGCAAAGAGTTCAAAGTAATTAAACCCTGATATGCATATCACTGATATATTAATTTAACGTGTGCATGTTACTGCTTCCTGGAAACTACCTGTCCTTTGGCCTTAAGTTTCTCCCTCTGTGCATCAAATAATTGTGAAAAATTGAACATCTTTACTTTGACCAAATACAGTAGACATCAAGATTAACATAATTTATATTTTAAAATATATACTCATAAAACTATTTAAAATAATCAAAGTAATGAATAATAAAAATTAATTAGAATAATAAAAAATGAATTATATATAATTAAAAATCATTAAATAGTACAAAAATATTCAGTCCTAGTCTTAAGGAGAGAGATTGGGGTGGGGTGGAGGGGTGGGGTATCCTGTGACCAATAATTATAAAGATACCAGCAAGTTTTTTATGCACCAATAATTTTTAAATAAAAATAAAAAAACATACTATATGATTATTTTAAAATTAAATATAAAACATGATAAAGAGGAGGAAAAAAGGTATTATATAAGTTATATAATCTTGACAGATGATTATGATAGCTCTTAACCATAAGATAAAAATTAGTTTTATTTAATTAGTAAAATACTAATCCTCCCAAATTAATGTCACGTACCATATATATAAAACCAAGCCCATGTCCCTTTGCTTTCAAAAAGGAAGTATCTAAATTAATAGACATAGGGATCGGTGATACCATCACTTCCCCACCACCCAAATTCATGAACTATAACATGACTGCTACTGATCAATGCATGCAATTGTATCAACAACCTCTCATAGATTGCATGCCTTTGGTGTCACCCTTAGATGAATTCTTTGATGCAACTGTGATGACAACAATGTCATCAGAGGGTGTCTTGAGCCCAAGCAATTCATACAACACTAGTGCCCACAAGTTAACCCCAAACATCAATGCATTGAAACCAATCCGAAGAAGATCTAGAGGTTCTAAGAGAACACCCATTACCCTCCTTAAGGCCAATACCTCTAATTTCAGGGCACTGGTACAACAATTCACTGGGTGTCCTAACACAAAAGCCACCTCATTTGCAATCCATAAGGGTCCTATTACCTTAAACTTCCAACAAGGAAGCAAACATCATGTTCAGCATCACACAACAAGAGCATTTGTGACACCATTTGACACCACATGTTTTAAACAAGTTCATCAGGTAGATGTGCCACTTCCATGGCAGAACCAACCAAAACCACAACCGTTGATGCAAGAGCAGCTATGTGGCAACTGGTTAGAGTTAGACCATGTGAAAAGCAGTAACTTTCTTCCAACTTCGGGTAACTCTTGCATGGAGGTCTCTCATGGATTGCTCTTTGATGATAATTTTAGTTTGCAAGAACTAACTGTGAATGCCTTCTCCAGCGATGAAGGTGGTGTTTTTATGTGATCAACATGTTATGTTTTAGAGTTGGTTTTAGAAAAGAAGAGAGGAATAACAATTTTTTATTTTTCATATTTTTAAATTTCATAACGTCTAGAGTAATATAAATGAAATGATAAATTATTATAAATTTAATGTATTAATTTTTAGTTCTTTTATAAACATTATATAGTTTTTTTAATTTAAAAATAAAGTATTTGATTAAAAACAACTCAACTCTCACACGTATCAATAGAAAATAAACATGTACCAAAAAAATGGAAATAAATAGACTCGAACTCCTGTCTGGTCAACTTACAGTTGTATGCAATATCCTATGATAAAAGCAATAATTCATGCTTGGCAGGCTATAATATATGGATTAATTTATTGTATCTCAATTCAATTTCTTTAATTTGTGGTTTTAATTTTTCAATGGTGGCTTCTCCTTGAAATTAGAACATTTTGTTTTACAACAATGTCTTGTTCTTGATTGTACAGCAGATATAGATATAGATGTGGGGTTAGTTTTAATATCAAACTTTTAAAGATGAGTTGCCAAAAGTATAAATACTGATCTTCTAGTTTTCAGTTTTTTACATATATAACTAGTATATATGTAAAAAATTTAAATCATATATAATTTTTAAAATAGGTATGTTGTATACGGCATATACAACTGATTAAATTAATTTTTTAAATTATTAATAAACTATAGTTAAAGAATATAACTTACACTAATTATGTAAATAATTTAAAACATATGCTGTATACGTATTTTTAAATAAAAATTTCATTAGTCGTGTAAGAAAAATCCTAACTTTCACTTTTTATAGAGTTGTGGAATTGAATAAATTATTTTAAAATATATGCAGCCCTCAATTATTTTATATTTACGTTCATCTTCAGCTTCATTCTTCGTTGTCAAGCCGATAATTTCGGACAATCTATTTTTTATCAATGGAGTTTGTCATTGTTTTTTATTCTATTTTCTTTTACTTTTCCCACCTTAAAAGGGTGTACATAATTTTGCAAAAATTATGAAAAATAAAAGGAGTTGTTTGTTTAATGAACATAAAACAAAGAAAATGAGCTTTCACCAAATTTGAAGGAACTTGTATATCTCTATTTTGAAATCTTGTTGGCTTCTTCTTCCACACACAAAACTTTCAAAATGACTAATAAGTTGACCACAATTTACTATTGTGTTTGCAATTAAGTTTAATTCATCATACACTTATATTTGCTTTAATGTTATTAATCATAATTTCTTCATAATATATTTACAAATATATACATATATTATATATATAGCCCTAACTACCAGAGATTAGAGAAGTAGGTTCACACTAAAACAAGAAATGGTCAATACCCAAAGAGTACGCATTGGTCAACATTGCCTTATCCCACAAGTCTATCCTTTTAGTTTCTAGTCATCAACTCTTGCCTTTTAAAACAATACTTATCTTTTTCATTGGATTAATAACTTTAAATCATTTCAATTCAACTCCATTAATAATGTCACGTGCAAAATTATAGATATTCTGTAAAAGCATCACACCATCTCTCTAGTCAGTGATTCTCTAATATTTATCTATTACTTATTGAAAGAGAACATGTTGACCCAAGAGATGCTTGTTGAATATCGTTACTATATACACTTATGTTTTTTTAATAACTTTTTATATTATATAAATTTTATCAATTTAATTGTTAATTTATTTTATATTAGTTTTGCAATCATTTATATTAAATTTACACAATTGGACATTTATAAATATATTATTAAAATTTAATTTTTATTTATATTTTAACAACATGATAATCATTAAAATAAAATAATGTAATGAAGTAATTATTAATTTTAATTTTTAATACAATTTTATAAAATTAATCTACTTAATAAAAACCTTCAAATTAATAGTTGAATTAGTCAATTTCATATTTTATAAAAAAATATTAAATAGTATAAATATACAAATTTAACACTTGCGGTTGACAATTTATATATATATATATATATATATATATATATATATATATATGTGCTGGTAGTTATAATTAAAAAAAAAACTCCTTGGACATAAAAAAAATTAACATAATTATTTTTAAAAGTTATTGAATAATTTATTAATAAATAATAAAATCAAGTAATTTAATGAAATTCTCATAAAATTGATTAACTAGTAAGAATATATTTAAAAAATATCAAATAGTATATTGTTAATATTTACAAAAGTAGAGAAGTTAACTCTTCATTTTATTACATTTTTAGATAAAATTATCTGTAATTAAAATTTAATTAAATTTTTGTAAAGAGTAATGCTAGTAACATGCTCTTCAATATATTATCTCTCACATATTTTTTATTATTCACTAAAATTTGTTAAAAACTATAAAAATCATGTGAGTTTCACTTCTAAATTAATATTTCTCTTTCATATTTTTTTAGTTTTCGATAAATTTTAGTTAATAGTAGATAGTCTAAATTTTATTAATACAAAATTTCAATATTTTTAGTTTGGCTCAAATTTTCACTTTACATTTAAATGAACTGAGTCAATCCAAACCTAATTAAGAAAAAGCTTAGATGAGTCGAATTAAAAAAGTTTAAAATTAATTCAGATTAAAATTTAAAACTTGTTTTTGTCAGACTACAATTTAAAACCTAAATCCTGTGCTTTAGCAGGCTTATTTGTGCTAGCCCCGTTGAGCCCATTTTACCGATTCAATCTTAAGCACCAAAAACATGAGGGGCCATTACTTTTTGAACCAATTTTAAAAATCTTTTTAAACTACTTTTATATTTTTGTTTAAAAAATGTCCTGCATTTGCGCTGTTGAGGGCATCGAAGAACCGGTACTCAATTTTAGGGCAGCAAAAGAGGAGAGTGGGAAAGACAAAGATGTGTATGTAGAAATCTTGGTAGGAGGTAGGGAGATGGTGGAGTGGGGGAAAAAAAGTTTTTTTCCAACAAAAAATTGCAAACAATATTAATGGAAAAATGGGGTTGTAAAAAGTAATGCCCAACATGAGGCTATTTTTCACTAGGGTCCAAGTCCAACGTACTTAATGAAGAGCTTCATCAAAATTTTAAAAAGGCCCAAGTCTCCCAGATGTTTTTGTTGCTCATTGGTTAGAATTACAAAGTGAGCACACAAGCGCAACCATAACAATAAAAGGGGAAGACGGTGTGAGAGAAAGGAGAGGAATACGTATATTGAAAGCAAAACATGAGAAATTGCGTTTTAAGACATACACAAGATGCCTTGGCTCATTCACTTTGTAACATCTGTATTCGAATATATGTCCCTACTTTTGTTTGTAATTTGTTTTGAGTCGTTGAGGTTGGTTTGATCTTTTCCTTTCTTTTCGTTTTTCTATAGATGTAAACATAAAATTACTAATAAAAACGAAAAGATAAGAATAATAAAACTTTAACCCTTAATATTCCATTCGCTGCCTAAAAAATCCAAGGAACTTTATTCCCTTTATCGTAAAATATCCAAACAATAAATTGACATATTTATTTCATTCAGTTCTGTTCCATTCCATTTCATTTACATCATTAGATGTCTAATGATGTATATATCTTGGGAACATACGAGTATATATCTTGAACTACAACATATGTAGTCTCGAGGTGAAAATCGGGATAAAAATGCCGTTAAAAATGCCGTTGCAACTTACTGCACTACGAGATTGGTTCAAACACTCTGACTACTTCAGATGGTGCTCGAACAAGGATGCCATCTCAATCTGCACCACATAAATAAAAGCATATGAAAAATTTATTCAACTAAGGCGTTTAGCTTAGCCAAAATTACAAGCCAGACAAATCTATAAGTGCTATTTCATGAATAGTTGAAGATGTTAGCCTCGTGTATAGGCTTATTTTCCTTTTCTTTTTTCAGAATATCTATTCACATTTCACAATTCAATTTTGACAACTACATTGAAAGTGGTCGCATAATGAGAATCCCTCATTCAATTTAAGTTTTTGGAATAATAAATAATTGGTTCATGATATATACAAAGAGAGGAGGATAGGATACATGAAAACTACAATTCGATTATAAAATTTTAGATGGCTTCATATAAACTTTTAAATGATTATTGCATAATAAGTAATAACATCAGAATATCAAGTTATTAACTTACAGCAGTCAATGCAGCCTCAGCACCCTTATTTCCAGATTTGCCACCAGCTCGATTTAGAGCCTGCACTTGGCAAAAAAATAACAAATAAAAATCAATGTAGTCATAACTATAAGTCTCATCAGCAAAGAACAAATGTTGTAACTTTCACAGTAAAATAATATAGCACAAGCTTACCTGATCCATATTTTCACATGTTAAGACACCAAATATGCATGGAACACCTGCAAAGGCATCTCAAAATGCTCAATTTTACATGTTGATGGCACTGAATAAAAAAGAAGCTAATAACAAAGACTGACAATGGCAATAAATGTCCCCAATCAAAAAGCAAAATAAAAAAAAAGGCAGGTGTTCTCTTATTCTGACTAGCTTATAGGGGAAACATAAACTTCAAGTATTTTATCTGTGAAGACCAATCTTAAGGTTAACTAAAACAGGTATTGTGTTACTATTTCTATAAAAATTATCATTTATAAAATAGCTCTCACATTTCAGGAGTTTCTTCTCAACATTTCAAGTTGCCATACCAATGTTGCATGCATATGTTATTTTCAAGAAAACAGATAGCAATTTAACACTGAAGTATGATTTGTTCATATCTGGAGATTACAATTGACATTAACGGAATACCACCTGAGTTTAGACTAGCTGAAAGCACTCCGGATGCTGCTGAATTAGCAACTGCATCATAGTGGGTTGTGTCTCCTCGTACCTGTTACCAACAAGCATAGGTCACAGTAGAAGCTCAAATTAAGTAGACATAAATGCAGATAATGAGTACTCACTAATCATAAAAATTTTATAAAAGAATTTCATCGATTTGTCAAGACTTATCATACCACAGCTCCTATGCATAAGATTGCATGATATTTGCCTGATTTTCCCAGTTTTGCTGCAACAACACCTATTTCAAAACTACCAGGTACCCACACAACCTAAGGGAGAAGGGAAAGCAACAAGTTTCTGTCAGCATTCACTGCAAAAGAAAGTGATGTTGAAATTCAGAACAAGGCAAGTCTGCCCCCATTCATGTAATATTGATTGAACATTTTTTGCAAGTGAAAACGCAGCCCATAAATTTTGTCTATAACTTAACCGCGACCAATGGTGACATAATTCTCTGACTAACACACAAAAGCAACACAAATAGATATTGATAAATGTTTTCAAATTTCAAACATCTGATAAAAGAAAGACACGAGTAGGAAAAAATGAAAAAATTGGTTTCTTGTTTTAGCCAAGCAAGCACGGACAATTCAAAATAATAGTTGTGTATGTTCTACTTGTGTGAGACATGTATCTATGTTAGAGATGTCAAATACTGCTAGCTAAATTTTAGAATATTTTTACTTTAAAACTTTTACCAGATACAAATGAGAATATCACAATAATTGGATTAAAGGTAGCATTTTATTATGTCTAGAATGACTCATGCTCATTTTTAAAACATAAATTCTCTCCTTTGACTCAAAACTTGCATTTTTATGTAAATTTTATATTTGGTACTATAATTGTATCATGTCCTATGATTTTAATATTTTCCGTATTCCTATATTCATGTCAAATTATATCCATGTTAAATTAATGTCATGTCCAAGCTTTTTAGGTTTTAGCTGATTATGAAAAGCATGCATAAGTTTGTTTTACTTTGATATTTCGAGAAAATTGAATATTTTACAAAACGGAAAAAAGTGAGTAAAAATAAATTTTCAAAAAAATGTACTAAGAGGAGATCCATTTGAAAACACCAGAAGAACATAAATATTAAAGCCACAGAATACTAGCCAAATTACAAAAGCAACATTGTAGATTATAAATAACTAATATTCCAAGAATTTATAAGACAGTTTACTCACATCAATGTCCTCATCTCGAACTGAATAATTCTTGAAAGTACTTAAAGCTCCCTCTAAGAGCTGTTTAGTAATAATTTCATTAAATCGTGCAACAACCTGAAAGGAGAGCAAATTGAAGTTAGCAAAGAAACATAAAACAATAAGAAAATCCTGGGAATATAGTCCTGTTTGATGTAGAAAACAATTGTTTGATCTTGAAGCAGAATATGATAGCTTCCTCATGAATGCCTACTATGTTGTTTGTACATTTCATATATTCCTTGCCTCCACTGTTTATACTCTGCACAACAGTTGCATTTGCATCTTCTGTATCCGTACTCTCCAGAATTCTCCCACTTGTTCAAATTTTAATTATTGTCAAAACCTTAATCAAGCACCAAGAAACTTGGGATTCTCCTCTTCGTGTGTTTCCCTGTATTTATCACCTTTATCTGTGGACAATAGGATTTGGGCAGCAGACTCTGATGGAGTTCCTCACTCATAAACTAGAATTGCTCAAATATTTGGATTAATTTATAATAACCATCTTTAGAGGTTTTGGGAGGAGTAAAGATGGCAACATCCTTTGACAGTGTGTAGTATATGCTTTGTTTTGGTAACTATGGTTGGAAAGAAATGCCAGAATCTTCAACTATAATTTCTCGCCATTACTGCTTCTGTAGAATAATTTGAACTTAGGTTTTTGTGCTGGTGAGTAATTTAAAGGGAACTTTACGATATTTTCTTCCTTGTTTTTTCTCAATTTTTAGTTGTGGAATCTTCTTTAGGATAATATCTTATCCTCTACTCCTGTACGAAACCCTCAATCTCCCCCAAAATCTCATTTTTTTTCAATACAACAATTAAAGCTTTTGCCCATTAGGTAGCTGGATCAGTTCTTCTTACTATTAGTGCTCATATGATTCTTCTTCTCGCTAGACCAAGCCACCTCAGGCAACAGTAAATTGTCTTTTCCCCATTAGGTGTTATCTATTGAATGTAAATGGTTTTCTATTGACCGAGAGTAAATTGGCAAGCCCCAACTCCATGACCAATATACCATTCATGTTGCTGGGTTCTTTTTCCTTTTCCAAACACTAAATGTATAACAGACACATTTTACCTGACTTAAAAACAACAGGCTGGAGAATAATGTAAGACTAACAAAGACCATGGTTTGTAAACAAGCATTGCTTGAGATGAAAGCATGAAATAGTTTAGCATTAATATTTTTGAAATACACACCACAGCGAAACGAAGTCCCTGGGTTCTGATAACAGAACCTGTCAGATGCCGCACAGCAGCTGTCTGCAAAAGAGCTGATCCACCCTTGCTCTGAACAGCAATATGTGGCTTAATTTCTGAACCAAAAGAAGGAAAACAATGAATTTCTCAGCCATTAAAACAGCTTGAATGCAAGTAAGGAAATGACCACAGTTAGAGTGTGATAAAGCATCCCACAAATATTTTATTCCTGGATAACCAGTATTAAACAAAATGTCAAAATTTGGACTATTCATTAAGTTCATCATCTAAACAGTAGAAAGGATAAGGAATACAACCTCGCATAGAAAGCGCAAACGAGAGAGACCTTGGACTTTTAGGAGCATTTTGAAGATGTAAGATGTTACTACTACCACAAAACATATATTGGCCATCACGAGGCACAAATCCAAGCTGAGAGTGATAGTTAGAAAGGATACAATCGGTAGAAACAAACGAAGCCATTCTTTTGGTCTAAAGACGAGCGCACAGTCTTCCAGATGCAGTATATATCTGGAGGGTAAAAACATAAAGTGAACATAATAAACATCTTGTTGTTTGATTTTCCATACACAGATTTAGAGAACAAAGTTCAGCCCAATAGAAAGGAAGCAAATGATATATGAGCTTAACCTATAACCAAGGATATTAAAGATGCATTCCGATGAACTTGAATAAAATTACGATATGTAGCTACATTTCCAGCTTCAAGAAAAGTGCTAAAATTGATTTTCAGATTTTTTTTTTAACCTTATCGACTTTTCTAAGAAAAGGTTTAAACGAAAGGTGGAGTGAACCTAAATGTGAAAAGATCGATAGCGAAGAGCACAGTGAAAAGAGGAAGGAGATGGAAACAAAAAGCTAAAAGAAACATCACCGGAAACGGAGTCGACGGCGCGGCGGAGGGGATGCAAAAGATGCGTCAACTCTCTGTTTGTTGAGTTATGGCCGACTACTTCATTTTCGGAGTCATTTTTTAAAGAATCTTCCTAGACACCACCGATAATGAATTAATATTTTATTTTGTTTTTGATTAAAAATTATACTAGAAAGTATTAAAATTTATAAAATAAATGTATTTTATATTTTTTAAAATACTTTAATTTTGTATTCTTTAACCAGTCTTTTAAGAATAATTGTTAATATTCTTTTTCATATCTTTTATTATATTTTTTAATTAAATTATACACGCTAATGAAAATAATTAAATTTAATTAATTATTATTAGTGAGTTTGCAGTATATAGCATGCTCGGTTGCTATATTTTAATAATTAATAATAAATATTATATTAATTAAATACAATTTAAAGATAAAATTATAATTATAAACTATTTTAAATTAAAATGAAAGTTTCAAAAACTCATTAAATAAAATATAATTAAAATAAAATTAATTTTATGTGTAATTTTAAAAAAATTAAAATTACACTATTGTTAATATTTTATTACATAAAAGTTAATATTTATATAAAAAAGTTTTAAAGTATTTATATTATATTTAAAAATTAATAATTAATTCAAAAGGTTTCTATTTTTTTTTTCTGCTTCTTAATTTTACTTCCCCGTTGATGCAAGCGCATGACACCAAATACTTAAAATATTGAAAAAAGAAAACTCAACGTTACAAAGAGAAAATTGCAACCTTTGAGAGCATCTGAAAATAATATTGTGCAGAAAAAATAAGATAACCAAAGAATTAAGAACGAACACATTCATCTTCAACCATACCCTTACCTTCTTAAAAGTAAGTTTGAGACTTAAATTTTAAGAATGAATTGTAAACTTAAGAAACACAATCACGTGAGAAAAGGATCTAAAATTCAGATATGAATAATTGTTATTCATTTTTAAAATGTACATCCACTTTAAAACTTTAAAACTTTAAAACTCAGATTAAACTGATGAAAAAAGTGCGTTGATAGCACAATATCTGGAATTTGGAGGGATTCTGGAGTTGAATTTGGATGCTCATTAAACTGAGTTTACTTTTTGTTTAGTAAAGCGAAGAAAGAAAAAGTGCAATTAGTTAAATTATGCAAATTGTCTGTACCATGAGAATCTATGTCAAGAGTCAAGACTCAACACACCTAAGACACTTTTGCTTCGCTAGTAAGGAAGTTCCAATTAGAATGATATTAAGATTTTTTGTTTCTGTGTTTATGGTTTTCAATTATTTCTTTTCCTCTATGAATGATGCATTTTTTCTTTCGTTGAGACTGCAAATACATATACTTAAACTTTATGCCTTGGTCCATATGACCCCAATTCCAGCTTGCAAACATGTTGCCCCTCAATAATATTACTCATGCTCTTCATAAACTTCAAAAACCAATGTCAAGTCTGATAAAATGACATGTTTGATAGCTTTTTCTTTATTAAAAGTGAGTTCTATCAATTCTGTTGTAGATTTTCATAATATTATCATACAGGCTAGGCATATAAAATTTCATATAATTTAAACACTTATAATTCAATAATAACTATTTACTATATTTTAAATGGTGTATTATTCATTAAAATATAACAGGACAGTAAGCTATTTCCTTTTTCCCTCAACTTCTTAGCTTTCTTACTGTGATTGGCATCTAAAGTTTGCTTGGTATACACGTTGCAAATTAGCATATGCAAAACTTCGTCATATTTAGTTACGGGGATTATGAAGATAAATTACAATTCTAAACTTAAAGGGATAACGTTGAAATGCTTTTAAATATTTTGGGATTATATATTTTTTCTCAATAACTATTCATCGAAGAACAAAAACCTTGGAAAAGGATTGTGCATAATGGCCATCTTAATTTATCTTTTCATAAACAGCTTTATGCTTTTTATAGATTAAATTCGTAGCACGTTGAGATCTATCAACTAAGGAAAGTAATCATCAAATGAATTGTTGCTAAATAAATCATAAAACTGGCTTTTCAGTGAAAAAGGGAGTTAAGAACATATGATAAAGTTAACTTTGCTTCCATTAAAGGATGTCACATCTTTCCAAAAAATAATTTATGATTATTATTTTTACATTAATTATGATGTTTTAATCTTTTTGCCAAACAGCACTGCAAAATGTTTTCAATGAAAGCATATAAGAATTTGGATTAACTGTATGAGAATTTCATCTGCAAATAATATGTATATTCATGCCAACTACAAACATGATGAAAAGAAAAACACGTGTTGTTTTATTTAATATCACAATTCATCAAATAAACTTTTAAAATTATAATATACTCAATTAAAACCCTGTGCATTTAATATTTATAGCAAACTTTTTCAAAAAGATCTATGGCATATTTTAACTGTTTGGAAATAATTTTATGAATTTATATAAACTTTTTTTTTCTTTATAGCAAATAATAGTAGTATTTTAATGCACCTCTATTTCTATATTATAAATATGAACATTCACTCTTAAATAAGATAGTTTTTAAGAATTTTTTTCTCAAAAAATATATAGTTTTTCCTACATTAGATATTGCATTTCACCTATTTATTTCCAACAATATAACTAAAATTTGTCATAAAAAATACCAGCACTTAAATTTGATTATTCCTAAATTAAATTTAAAATTTGATTAATGATAAACTGTATCAAAGTAATTTACGTAAGGACTCAAGAATGGTCGAGATTACAGTAGAGGTAAATTACAATTCCAAGCAAAAGTTTACTTAAGCACGACTCTCTCTGTGAGGATGCATATTATAATTAATTTTTCACACTTATACATAGACAAATTAGATAAACTTAAATAGGCAATAATTTCACCAAGAGAAAATGTTTATAAAATATATAAAAAACATGTGTTTCACAAATTGTTGGTGAAATAAAAAGGGACAAATTTTTGTTCCCAAAATAAAAAAAAAAGCTTTGAAATTTAAAGTCTTGTTTTATAAGGAAACAAAAGTGCAGAATTTTTATCCTCACGGATAGATTATGAAAGTTTGAAAAATTAAATACAATTTAGCATCCCATGTTTATGAAAATAACTTCTTAGCAAAATTAAGTAATTAACAAATATTTGCCATTCCAGTTTTTATATTATTATTATTATAATATTGTAATATTATATTTTGGTGCTATTTTGATTTTATATTTATTTTTCCTAGTTTGGTTCTGCAATATATATAGGAATTGTAAACCACGCTATTGTGTGCAGCTTCTTCCCTCACTTGGGTTTCTTTCTTTCTCTAATCTTCTATTTCTCTCTCTCTCTGTTTCTCTGTTCACTTTCACTTCAATTTTCTCATTCCGTTCAAGAATTGGGATCGATTCTTGAGTGTTATTTGGGAATTGATCACTCGCTCAATCTCTTTCTTTGATTGTGCGATGCTATCAGTTCCGAGATGAAGTTGAAGAGGAAAAGGGCACTCGAAGTGGTTAGTCTCGCTCTCTATCTCTTTTGTCATCGATGTCGTTTTCCGATTATTTATTTACCCACCGATTTTTCTGTTTATTGATCAAATTTATGGTTTCCCCCATTCTTTTCAATTGAGTTTTTTCTGTTGGGGTTTATGGTGCTTTTTCCCCTAATTTTTTATTTTGCTTTTTTTTTTAGATTGTTACTGGTCTAGAGTGTTATTGTGATGGTTGATAAAGTTTGCTCTTTTTTCTTTCTTTTCAGTTTTTGATAATTTTCTACTGATTCTTGTGCGAATTGGTTTATGTGATTTTGCTCTGTTTATTGATCGGGGCTCTTGATGTTTGCTGTTGGGGTTGAAAGCGATGACTTCTAGTCTCGAGTCTTGCCCTTTTAAATTCTGTTTATTGTTAAATGGTTGAGTACTTATTAGAATCTTAATAACTTTTCCATTCACATTATGCGCTGATCAGGTTTTAGCATAAGACTATTTCCGCTCCAAGAATGTACTTTCTTTTTATGTAATTTGTAACGAGTTAAAAAAAATTATTAAATATGATGATCAATTGGTGTGCTGATGAATTCAGTAAGCCTGAATTGCTTGTTCCCTATCTCTTCAATTCCTGGAAATTTGTTATCTTTTTATTTTGCATTGTTATTGAAGGGGGATTGACTTGAGAACTAGGTCATAGGATGTGTATATCAACTATCCTTGTTAAACACAACCATGCATAAACTTTAGGTTGTTGCTTTACTCGTATTATAATATGTTCTACACTATGTCAACTGACAGCGTTAACACCAGCTACGTTGCTGGTTTTTACAACTGATGGACCAACATCTGGCCAATCATTTATGAATGTTGTTTTCCTTGCATCAGTAACATGCACTTTGATTTTTCGGATGTCAATAAACGTTATGGTTTTTAATTATGATTTAGTTCATTTTTTATTAATTTCTGATTTTCATTTCCAAATGTGAGATGTGATTTTTTATTTTATTTTTTTGCTTCTCTCCATATTAATTCCCACTTTCACAATTCCCAGTGCATCATATTTACAGATGCCCTTATTATTGTGATTTGATGTTTATATCACACATGTACCTTTTGGTAATTTGACACTTTGAAAATTGCTTTTGTTTATAAAAATAATCATAGAAGCAACACTTCCAAAAACAAATTCTCCAAAATATAAATCAAAATGTCTTAAGAATGAAAGTAATCTTGTTATGCTGGAGACAAATTTGTATGTAGATGTATTCCCCACATTTTTACGGAGGTAGAAATCATAATTTGCTTAGATGACAACTTTGAAGATGCATTATGTGATGTTATTAATTTTTATGCTTCTGACATTTTTATCTCAATTTTTTGGCGTTGATAGATGCCAATGCTTTTGTTTGGTTTATGTAGCTGACTGCAACTAGTGGATCAGGGCTTGGTTATTGATGATACATGTTTTTGGATTATCTTCATTTCTACCATATTGACCAAAATTCATATTTCAGCATTTACTAGTGTATTCATTCTAATAAGTTGAGAAGAGATTTGCTTTGAGAACTAGAATTCTTCATTGCATAATAGTTTTCTTTAGTAACATTGTGTTTTACAATTAATAAAACATTT